CAATTTTCCCAACACGAAACCGACTGATTCGAAAAGCATTTCGGGAAACTTCCAAGCCGGCACGCGTTAACGGCAACCGTAGCCGGCGAACAAAGCCGTCTGTTATTCGTCACAGATGTGACAACGAGAGTTCGTTACCTCGTCGACACTGGCGCAGAAGTTAGCGTTCTCCCAGCAAATCCTAACGACCGGCTTCAGGAATCGGCTTTTAACTTACAGGCGGCAAACGGAAAACCGATCGCTACGTATGGCAAAAGGTACGTTTACCTTAACGTGGGTTTACGCAAACCCATCCACTGGATTTTCGTTGTTGCAGATGTTTCTATGCCAATCATTGGTATGGACCTTCTACAACACCACAATCTGATCATCGACACTCGCAAACGGAGGCTAGTAGACGGAAACACTAATTTGTCCGTTTGCGTAACTTCCTTTACTGGTTGTAGAGTATCCCCAGTCACAGTTAAACATATGATAGACCCACTCTATCAACCACTACTCGATAAGTACCCTGGGATACAACAAACTCAACCGAAACTACCGTGTGTAACCAGCAATGTTACACATCACATCACGACTACAGGACCACCTGTATTCTCTAAAGCACGACGACTAGCTCCTGAAAAGCTAAGGTTAGCGAAAAACGAATTCGATCACATGATGGACTTAGGAATCATACGACCGTCAAGTAGCCCATATGCATCCCCGTTGCACATGGTCCCTAAAAAGGACAGCAATGATTGGCGTCCAACTGGTGATTATCGGCGTCTGAATGCTAAAACCATTCCCGATCGTTACCCGTTGCCTCACATTCACGATTTGACAGCTACCTTGAAAGGTACAACTGTCTTTTCGAAAATCGACTTGGTTAAAGCGTATAACCAAATCCCTATGGCTACTGACGACATACCGAAAACAGCTATCATAACTCCTTTCGGACTCTATGAATTTTTGCGAATGCCTTTCGGTCTAAGGAATGCTGCTCAAACATTCCAAAGATACATAGACGACGTTTTTCGAGGTCTCAACTTCGTACACGCGTATGTTGACGACTGTCTAATCGCAAGTCCGGACAGAGAAACACATCTCAAGCATCTGGATCTTGTTTTCGAACGACTTCAAAAACATGGCATAACTGTAAACGTTCAGAAATGCCAAATCGGAGCTGACTCGTTAGACTTCCTAGGACACACTATCGATGCTCAAGGCATTCGACCTCTTAGGACCAAAGTGGCGGCCATTCTGGATTACCCAGAACCGACCACCGTCAAGCAATTACGCACGTTTAACGGCCTGGTAAGTTTCTATAGACGTTTCATACCGAAATGCGCATTACTTATGAAACCTCTGACCGACCAACTTCGTGGAAATGCGAAATCCATTAATTTGGACGACACGGCACGAAAAGCATTCTCCACAGTTAAGGAACTGATTGCTAAAGCAACAATGCTCGCACATCAGGACACCCGAGCACCCATTAGCATCGCAGTAGACGCATCCGACTCGGCAATCGGAGGAGTCTTACAACAATGGGTTAACAACTCCTGGCAACCCTTGGCATTTTTCTCTAGAAGGTTGCTAGACACCGAATCGAGGTACAGCACATTCGGTAGGGAACTCCTAGCTATGTATTGTGCTGTACGGCATTTCCAACACCACATCGAAGGTCGTGAATTCACTCTTTTCACGGACCATAAACCGCTCACTTTCTCGTTAAGCTCTCCTTCTGACAAGTACTCTCCCCGTGAGTCTCGACAACTGGACTACATTTCGCAGTTTACTTCAGACATTCAACACATCTCTGGAGCAAACAATGTAGTTGCAGACGCTTTATCTCGCATAACTTCCTTGAACAGTTTCCAAGGAATCGACCTTCTTAAACTCGCCGAGCTTCAAAAAGAAGACAGTGATCTTCAGCACGAGTTATCGTCCACAACACTTAAACTACGCATCAAACAGATGGGAACAGGTAAGGAAACCTTACTTTGTGACACATCTACAGGTAGGGATCGCCCAATCGTGCCGAAACATTATCGACGCAATGTCTTCAACACATTGCACAAACTTTCGCATCCAGGTGTTCGTGCAACCATCAAGCTTATTGCAGAAAGGTTTTGCTGGCTTGGAATGAATAAAGACGTGAGGGAGTGGGCACGCTCCTGTGTAAGCTGCCAAAAATCTAAGGTTATCAGACACAATAAATGTCCCTTAGGCTCGTTTAAAACTCCCGATGCTCGTTTCGACCATGTTCATCTGGATTTGGTAGGACCTTTACCAGATTCAAATGGATACTCTTATCTCTTAACCTGCGTAGACCGTTTCACTCGATGGCCAGAAGCAGTACCTATCAAGGACATCACTGCTGAAACAGTGGCCCGCACCTTCGTCGAACGATGGGTAGCAAACTTTGGCTGCCCTTCAACCATCACTACAGACCGCGGACGTCAGTTTGAATCCGATCTTTTCCGTCGTCTGACCACACTTTTAGGAATCACTCGCTTCCGAACGACCGCCTACCATCCACAAGCAAACGGGTTGGTAGAACGTTTTCACCGGCAACTGAAAGCTTCGCTATCAGCTGCAAACGTTTCACAGTGGACCGACGCTCTTCCACTCGTCTTACTAGGTATCCGCAATGCAGTGAAAGCTGACATTGGATACACTGCGTCTCAACTCGTTTATGGTACGACACTTCGACTTCCAGGAGAATTCGTGGATCCTTCATCCTCTTCAATGAACATGGATCTAACCTCCTACACGAACAGGCTTACAAACGCAATGCGTTCAGTTAAACCTGCTTCCACTCGACCTCAATCAACTGATGTTTTCGTTCAACCTGACTTACGATATAGTACACACGTTTTCGTTCGTCGAGACTCGCATCGACGACCCTTCGAATCAGCATACGAAGGACCCTTCAAAGTTCTTCAACGTGAATCTAAGTACTATATAGTCGATAAGAACGGAACCAACGATAGCATCAGTATCGATCGCTTAAAAGCAGCGTATTTAGAAGGAAATCCTATCTACGTGGATTTTCCTTCGGTACAATCGAACGACACGACTCCGACACTTATAATACCTCATCCGACAACCAACACACACGATGATACTTCGACAGTATCCGAAAATAAACTTAAAACGACGCGTTCTGGAAGAAGGGTGAGATTTCCAGAACATCTAAACGACTATTGCACGTAAGGCACTTCTCGACATTTTATATTATTTTTTTAAAAAAAAACAATTTTAATATGCTTATATATTTTTATTTCTATTTAAAAAAAAACAAAACAAAAAAACAATTTTTTTAACGCTATTACGTGTTCATGAGTTTATTTTCCATTTTTTTTTCCGCCGACATTGTGCTTTTACGCACATACGAGTGTATTTCGACATGCACTTACATTTTCTTTTTTCTTTTCCAGGACGGCTGGAAAACAACGATGACGTTTATGAGGATCCGAAATTTTCATTGTACATTTTCTTTTTTTACTATGTTGTACCTCCGTCCCATATAGTAAGGAAAGACGACCAGACGCTGCTACACTTAGTAAGCTATCAGAAGAGTGTTTACCAACGACAAACTCGTTGGGTTTAAACTTCTGGCTGGCCACGTCTTAGGGTCGTCACTGCCCCACTAGGGGGGGGAGTGATCTGTAGCGGTAAATAAATCCCCAAAATAAATAGCACTAAGATTTCGACATTGGATGCTGACCATATGTTTTAGTGGACTCACCTAGCTGAAGGCGCTCGGTCAGGCATCCGTACCAGATCACGTGTGGTAACGCCGTGCTCAACATCAACCGCAATCGCTAGCCAGATTAGATCAGAGAATTCCGATATATTGGTCATCGCCAAATATACTCTTCCGATCTCCTCGACTCTGTCTTTTGATTTCTCTGGGCGGGAACGAAATATATTAGAAGGTGTTACTGGTAGAAGCGTTGTCAAACACTGAATACCTGTGACATCATCAGCTCCATCGCGACGCCAATATGATAATCTGGAGTATTTGAATTATAGCAAAAACTAAGAATCTTAGAAATAATGCAATGTAACCAGGAAGTGCTAGATAAGCACGAACGAATGTACTGTTTTTGGGATTCGAAAGCAAGCATTCAACAAGTACCAAGGAATCGTTATTTCATAAAAACACCACAAGTTTTAATGGTGTTGGTTCTTTTCAAGGCATACTGCCAGCCATCAAGATTTGGCTGATTGTGCTTTTTTTGTAACCTAAGTAGCTAATGATACTTTAGAGGAAGTTGTTTGACCACGCCTGTTCTATTATTATCTGAGAGTGGGCGCATTTTTGACATTTTTGGTACATGTTGTGAATTGTTCACGTGTGTCCGTAGTTTTATCTGTTTGTAAGTTGGAAGTTATACGTTCGGATTCACAACGGTAGGGTTGGGTGGTGTATGTTTTAAAATTTGTGTGTAGACATATCAAGTGATCATAATTTAAGACTGAAATTTTCTTATCATATCTGTCCACTTGATACCCACTTCCTGAATCACGACATCCAATTATCACAATTCGAATTATAGTAGTCCAGTCAACACTTTCAGCGAACTTTTTAACGCGGATAACTGTTGTTAATAAGTTGCGGGTAATACTTTTTTATTCGCCTGTTCAGCTATTACACCTGAACGTATTCCTTTGTTTATTAGATCTACTCGGCCTTATTCCCATAGATCCTGAAACTAATTAGTCGACCTTTCAAGAAAGCCTACCTTAGAAGGGTTAAAAATCACTGTAAGGGATTACGATTAGTATTTGGTTAGGAACTAGGTATTTTATTAGGAATTTATATGATCTGTAATGGCAGAATGCTATTTTACATATGGATAAATGGATGACGCATCAAAACTATGAACTTGCTGTTTTTGATTTTATTGGTTTTCTCATAAATTGTATTCTCAACTTATCAAAAATAATGAGCCAATAACTAGTTCTCATAAGTTATTCTGTGTCATCTATCTTAGCCATTTTGTAGGATGAAGCCGATAATTGATTCTGAATCGGTAAAGTTGAACAAAAAAAGCAGCCCTCAGAATATCAAGCAAAAACTTTTCAGACAAGATGGTACGAACAAAAGTGACATAAAAGTATATATGCGTATGCATTCAAAGAAGAAACGGCAAAAGTACATTAAATCTACAGTCGAGGATAAAACGACTGAATCTGAACAAAATACTCTTTTGACATCTGGTCTCAAGGTGGACAGTCAGTCAGAGGAATCTGATCGCTTAAGATCAAAGAAGAAAACTCGGAGGGAGAAAAATAAAAATGTAACAAAGCGTTTGCCCGAACATCCTGATTCTATTATGAGCAGTAAAGGTACGGATTACGTAAGATAAATATGATATATAGTTGATAAATTTAGGAAACACCTGTTAAGCCAAATACATTAAAACATTTGTTTAGGAAGGTGTAAGGTTCGGAACACTTATGATCAAATCATCTTGATCATTCTGATGGGACTTAGTCCTCTGAGCTTCATAACCACCAGTCCAAGCTAAAAGTCTCCACAATCGCATTCTTATCATTTATGAAGTTGGAGTTACAGTTGTTTTCAAGACAAAATTAGATTTTAAGGTTGGTGATAAAAATAGTGAAATGTCTAACTAAAGTTCATCGCATTCGTTTTCTCTCATTGTTACAAATCTAAAAATTCATGATTTCATGTACTGGCATGTAGTTTTAAATGAAAAAGTGAATAATCATCTGGTGTATCCGGTTAATGATGTTGCCTCTGGGAAAGGATTTCCAAGTCGTCAGTGCTACTATTACTAGAAATGTGTTCATACATTACTTGGCAAAGTAATACGTGGAGGTTATTTGACAGTTAATTGCTTTTCCCCTTATAGCAACTCATATGTTCCGAAACTTAATGTAATGAATGCATTTTCAAGGTGGTATAAGGTTTGATCGGTAATTATATTTGGCATCATATGTCCAAGTTCAGTTAATATTATTTTACTTGACGTCTTACTAAATATATATCAAGATAAATCACATTATGCTATTTTAAACATAATTATTGATCGCTCTCACAGACCATTGTAGCGTAAGCAGTCAGAATTGCCTATCTCTACTCATCACCAACCTACCCAAACATATAAATTATTCAATGCTCAAAGATGCCATACCATCGGCTGCACGCTTGCATCTGTTCAGGAAATCTGGAAAGCGTTTAGCGTTTGCCAATTTCTATACCATGGATGACTATTCAAATGCCATTAGTCGTTTGGAGGGACTTGAGTTTGACGGGGTCAAGGTAAGATAATATCAGCCGAATTCCGGTTAGCAATAAATGTTTCTTAAGAGTTTTAGACTAAGTTACTTAGTTTCTAACATCATCGTATACAACAAAGAGTTTGGTTTTATAAGTTGAGTAGTCGTGATGATTAACATTAGTAATGGATTCCAATTCTAGTGTGATTCTTGTTTTCAAAACTATTTGATTACTTTTCTTGAGCCAGCTACTCCTCCCTAGACGTAGACCGCCGACCAAAAATCTCCAAGTAACTTTGTTCTGGCCACTCCTTCCTAGTTGTTGTCAATCAGTATTCATGGTCGTGATGTTTGCCTCTGATTGGTAGCGTTGGTCTGCTTCCTTTCGTTTTGGCTTAAGTTAGTATCTACATTGTGACACAGTATAGTAGCTTTTGCAAACTTTGTTCTGTTGATTTTCAATATCTGTCTAATTTCTTCCTCAATTGGCACATACCTTTACTTCTGATAGGATGAGTTTTTTATGACCATCTGTAGTACCTAGTGTAAGTGATCGTTTATGAATACTTGTACTTTCTTGGTGGTGATCTTGTCAGGGTTATTTTGACGTCAATGTGGAAAATTCTATGACCTTGGATGAGGATTCTTTTGAGCTCCGGATATTCTTCAATTGTAGGAATGTTGCTCTTACCCAACTAACGCACACCTTGTGATCCGCGTTAGACTATTGATTATTAGTGATACTACCGAGGTGCGTAAACGTTTCCAACTCTTCCAGAGCTTCGCCATCAAGTACGGTTTGGTTGATTTTCCCTGTATCATGTTTTTGGGGATCTCGCTTCTTCCCTTGTGAATATATAGACCTACTTCTACACTGGCTGTCTTCACCTGGATTTTGCTGCTGTATATGGAATAGAAGGGCTAGGTCACCTACCCACTGTATTGGGTTTTTCGTGAGATTTGGAGGTCTCATAATTTAGTCAACAACCAGGAGAAAGAAAAGATGAAAGTAGACAGCCTTATTTTTATCTGAGTCTTCACTTGGAATACATATGTGAGCTGTCTTCCATGCAAGACTTTTCAATTCAGTTCCTTATATGAATTCCGTATGTTAGTGACTATTATCCGAGGTTTCAAAAGGCTTTCCCGTCGACACTGGAACATCTCCCCTATAGTCAAGAAAGTTGAGTTTCATTCAATTTATTGCTCAATAATGACCCACAGTGTTAAGATCCGGTCTGTACATGACCGATCCCTACGAAATACTGTTTGTTGATTTCGAAGTAGAACGTCTATTGAAGCTTTCATTCGGTTTAGCAACACTTGAAAATTTTGACTGGGACTGATAAAAATGTGCTGTACCTGTAGTTCTCACATCCACTAATATGAGATATCGTTCTTTCCTCCCAAAGCTTCCTAAACATAACATTGGACATCTTTTCAGTTACTGCCATAATTGACTCCAGTACTTCGTCTGACATGCCGTCTGGTCCAACAGCTTCTGGTCTATTCAGTGTGCTCTGTCCACCTGTTTCACTGCTATTGGTTCTCAGTGGTTGGTTTCCCTTTGTTCTTGATTGGTCGATCTGGTTTCTAACACTTCTCGCTAACAGAGATCCACTCCAAAAGTGTTCTGCGCTTGTAATTAGTACTATGCATACACCTGCCAGTTCACGAAAACTAGCCATCGGGTCGCCAGATACGCGGAGGGTGTATCTCGTCGGATCCTCGTTTTGCCAGAATACCAAAATACCCACTGAAATATCCATCTGTTGGATATAATCTACCTAGCTGGACATTAAATTCACCTTCTATGAGCACTATGTCTGAGTGTTTAGCTTTTTGAAGAAATCCAGAAAGCTTTCTGTGAAAGTCATCCTTCACTTCATCCAGGTTGCAGTCAGAGGAAGCATAGGAAGAAATGACGAGAAGTTAACAATGTGTGTCCCTATCCTTCCGATTTCTTATGGAGCCGTTTAGCCGAACAGTACATAGACGACTGTTAACGGGGATCTACTGTATTAGTGCTTGTTCTGCCCTCGTACTTAGTGCTATGCCTACACCTGCCAGTTCACGAGAACTAGCCATCGGGTCGCCAGATACGCGGAGGGTGTATCTCGTCGGATCCTCGTTTTGCGAGGTGAGGTCAAGTAAATGACCACACTAGGATCCTGTGTTCGTGTTCCCTCGCGAAGATTGTTAGGTGTTTTCCTGGACATTTCTTCAGGATAGACTGTATTATCTGATAGAACAGGTCTTCATAATCTTTACTGACATCATTGATGGGTGTGTATCGGTGGGCAATATTCATTACAATGTTTTCTTTTTTTGCTTTGGAGTATGTTTCGATAATCCTGTCGCCTTAGGTCTCCCATCTTATAGGCGGTTTTCGTGTTTTTCTGGACAGCATCAGTGCAACTCGTGTATGTGTTGCGCTTTCTTCCTTATGACGAGAATACAACAGTTCTACTGAAATGAAATGATTTCTGTCCAGATTGTGTACATGTAGTTTTACTTATTTCACGCAGATCTGGCTTGTGTATTGTCATTTCTGTGACTTTAGATGATCCGGTTTTTCGCGCAATCTGGACATCCCGCACCATTTATTTGTGCTTCTCTGATCGACGGAAGTGGCGTTGCACTTGTGTCTGGTTGTTCAGCAAAGATGTACTACTATAATCTGATTATGACGAGTTTATTGATCAAGTATCAAATAAATTCTCCACTTCATTTAAAAAATATCCCCGTATGAAAAGTACGAATGGCAAATCAAATCTTCCTACTGAGTTTACTGTTTTTACTTTGAACCAAAGTTCTTTATGGTCATCACGTTAATGTGAAACAATACTTAATTATTTGAAGATATGCTGTACTATCAATTGTGTCTCACGAAAATGTAAAATTCATTTTGTCGGGTGTTTGAGTTACGACCTTTAGGCTAGGTTATTTTTTAAGGAATGCCTAACTGTATGGTAACGCGTCTACATATACGAAGACGAAAAACATGAATAAGGAAACAGTATGAGATGCCTTTGGAATCACAGTGTGGAAAAGTTTACAACTCTGATATTCAATGGGAAGATGTTAAAAGAACTCAGCGACCACTAGTTAAATCACTGCGTTTAAACAGATATTTCGTTTAAAAATCCCCATATTAAAATACTAATATATGAACGATGATTATTCTTTCCAGTAAATTCTCTTTGGGTTCTGCTGTAATTTTTATTTGTTTTACGAACAATCTTAAATTCACATGTTATGGTTTTATATGATGTACTTCTCTTAAACGTAGTCACTCTTTGGATTATTAATTTGAATGTGGAACTGAAAGAAAATTTATTGGAAAATAATACTCCGTTCATATATTAGTGCTTTACTTATCCCTTTTTTCGTCTCACTTTAAACAGTTGGCCTTCACCACATAAAGCTTAAGCTACGATTTAGTTTAAGAAATTATGAAGTTGAATAACCTCACTAGAAAAAGTGGTTTCAGATTATACGCTAATTTCTTATGATGATATTTTTATTTTTACGAAATCTGGTGTGTATAACTTGACCGATTCAAGGACTATTCTGCAATGTTTTAAAGTAGCATCATAAGTTGTATCCTGTTAGTGCTACATTTAGATTGTCTACATGATTCTCTCTGGTATAAAATTTTACCGTTTCAAAACCCCTTGAAAAAACTTCCCGTCTATAGAGATAATATGTGCAAACATTCTCGTTGTGATACAATAGTAAACAGGACTTTGTTAACTTGAGTTACTTTTTTCATCTTTTGTCGCAAATTATTTCGGAAAGAAAGCACATCAAATCACTAATCGATCTATAGATTACGTGTATTCAATAATCAATGACCACTTATTTTATACCACAATTGCTTCATACATCAATACGCAAACACTTGAAAGAGGGTATTACCAAGTAGTTTTATTTCCATATAGTTTTATGTTTTGTTTTAACTGTTATATTCTTTTACCGATTTGTTTATTATGAAAGCCATTGTTTAGGCAAGTTACACGCCATGAAAAAACTGAAAAGAAGAAACCTGAGAGTGGTGAATTGAGGCTGACTATTCATAATTTACCATACTCTATTACTATAACTGAGTTAGAAGATGAATTTCCTACAGCCAAATCAATCATAATAAATACGAAGAAAACTGGAGTTAATAAAGGGTAAGATTTAGATGTTATTCTTTATAAATTATGTTTTCCATGTTGATACTCAGATTATAATTCTAATTTATATTGACGCTAAATTGGTACAGTCAAAAATCTAGTGATTCATTAGTATATTAGTTCAGAATAAATATAACAGCGCTCTATATTTCGTGGAAATTTCTTTAAAATTCTGTTGTATGTTTCTGTGTACACATTTTGGTATCTCATCTTATTTTGATTTCAGTAGTTAAAATGAAGTGAAATGCAAAACATCAAAGTCATAACAGTTGCCGCAGATGATGGTAGATTACGCCTGCTAGTAAAACAAATATTAACAGGCGATTGTCGATAAAAAGATTTGTCTAAGATAAACTAGTTGGTAGTATTTTCAGTAAAGACTACTGGCACAATAAATACAATTTTTGTAATGCAGATCAATGACTATCTCCGAAACTTCGATTACTGTTCTGATGAACCAATTTTGACTGCTTATTTCAAACACTTAAAATAATTATACTATAACGAAAGTCGAACGAAACTCCAAGCTTGAATAAAATGACTCCAAATTTCCTACTTAGTTTGCATTCGAGACGCAAATTTATTTTTTGGTATTAAAATAAGTTTTGTTTCGGCTAAGTGAGTTAATGAAATCGTGAGACTGGGAAACAGTTTATATCCATTCTTTCAACAGAATAACATTCGAGCACTCTAATTCCCGATCTTTTGGAAAATCTCAGTCAGTTTCATGACCAAAAGGTCAATTCGCCACCATCCCTAGAAAGGGTTGGAAATAAGTCATCTTGACCTAGTGATTTGCGGAGCTTCGAAGGTTGGAGCTCCCTGTGGACTTCCGCCTTGCTAAGTGGATCAGTCGACGCTGGCCAGGAAGGATATGATAATCTGATGTTACCGGAGCAGCAGAATAGCTGAACTGTCCATCGTCCAAAACGTCGGTAAGTGTTATTAATTGGCGTGACATCACAGATTTTATGCACAATTCTGGGTAGACTTCCAATTTAATCCTCTCTTTTGAATGATATTTACCTGATTTATTCACTGGCGTAAATGTTGTCACTGAAGAATTGCATAAAAATATTTCAGTGCTCACTATGATGCTGCAAGTAAGTAATCTGAAATCTTTAGGTTTTTTCGACTTTTTCACTTAGTATTCGAATTTTATAGTTTATTTCTAATGGTATTTTTTATTTTTTTGATTGGTTTATTAGATCCTGTTTACTTGAGTTTGAATGTCATGATGATCTTCAAGTTGTTCTGGATGCTTGTCAGAATAAAGTGATCGGTGGTCGCCGTGTATCTGCCTTGCCCGGTCTTCATTTTGAAATTAAATCCGAAAACACTAAAGCAAATACTAAAGAAGCCACTACATTTGGCATAAAAATATGCAAAATGTCTACATCAATAGAAGATGATCGACTTCGACAGCAGTTTCCATTGGGATCCATAATTGAATATTGTTCAGTGCCTACTAGTAATCCATCATGCAGGTAATACACATTTGTTCACTTTTGCGCCAATTTCTATGCACATGTGTAATGTTTATATTTATATGCAGCTGAATCTCTTGTTCCAATGCATTGTTCTTTTTAAAATTTTATGTATATCACCATCCTCCGTTTCTAGCGAATGTCTCTCTTTTTTTCTTCAGAAATGTATTTCTCACTCTCAGGAACAATATATCTAATCAATTAATTGTTAAAAAACTTCGTAGAAAAGGTATCGACCAACATCGCCTGCACATACAATCATGGTGTAAGTGTTGCTGTATTCACGAATAAATAATATGATGCTAGTAATCGCATACAAGTATACACCTGCTGTGTAAAGTATAATGAATTTATTAGAATGTATAAATCTTGGCTAATGAGATGAGGTTCTGACCTGGGCACATTTTATTGTTTAAACCAATCCATCACATCAAGTTTCATGGAGCAACTTTTAGGTTAAAAAAGGATCTTAATTTTTGGAAGTTTGTTGGGAACTCCAAACATCGTACATTAAGTAGTATAGATTAGGACAATAAACTAGTAATATTAATGACCAGTACTCGTTATATGTATACCATACATTTTGTTTTCCTCAACTTATTGTCTTAAAATCAGAATTGATCAGAAATCTGTGGCAATAAGAAAGTTTCTAATGTTCCTCACAATAAAATATTCAACCTAGTGTATATTTTGAAATAATGAACAAAATTATCGAGTTACCAGTTGTTTAATGGAAATTATTGTTCTTCACATGCCATCTTGTTTGAAATAGTAGGTCCCATTCATTTTTGATTACTTTCAACCAGTTGACCGACAAAACTTTTGTATTCAGTTATTTTTTATTGGAAATATGGTGTTTGATTAAGTAATTATTGGCCCGGTGACTTCAGTCAGCCAGTTGTCTATTTTTTCATTAGTCTGTTTAATAATTTGCTACGTATATTTATATGTACACTTTGTCACTTCAATATCCTATGTATATATATTTACCAGTAAATTACAAATAATTACTTGATTTTTATGCTCCACTTTATTTCTATGTTCAGACAAAAAGGACTTCAAATCTCAAAAAATTGAGCTAAAGCCACCAACTGACGGTAAGCTTTATGTTTACAGACTAGTAGTGAAGTATTTCTTTTGAAAGTATGTTTCTGTTCAGGTTTCTATTAATTTTGTTAAGTGATCAACGTTCAGTATTTCCAACACTTAGTTTACATTTAGATGAAGCTTGCTAGATACTCATAACATTCTATATATTTGTCAGTCAGCTACAACGTAGGACCAGGCACATATATACATCTATGTATTTGTACTTAGTATATATAGCGAAAGCATACTAGCAGTAAATCCACGTCAAATCAGAAGAGAAAAGCATTAAGTATCTTTTTTCTAATAGTCATGAATGACTTATTTTATCAAGTCTGCCTATCTGCATTTCCTTAAATTCACCTAATTAAAAAAAACCATTTACGTATAGTTTGTGTCAATTAAAGGAGCTTCTAATTATACAACGCTAAATGTTGATTTTGATATTTACAAAACATTAATTGAACTAGTATTCTCTGTATGTTTTGTTTGGAAGGTAACAAAAACAAAATTGATGAACCGAAATTAAAGGCGAGTGGTTCAGCTGAAGATGGTGAAATGACATTTTCAGAATCAGGTAAGGAAGAACTTTTCTTCTCCCTTGAGTGTTTTGTAGTGAGACATTGGATAACTTTTCATCGTATGTGCATCTGTGTTGAGAGAATTTCCAACTTAAAGTGATAATGTGGTTACCTAGCTTGTTGGTTAAATCGTATTTACCTATAGCTGTTAGTTCAATTTGTTTAGCTTGAATGGGGACTTGTAGAATTTTCTTACTGCTATTAAACTCACGGTTGTATTCTAAAGTGACTGTATTCTTTGATTTTTGTTAGTATTTAGTGTGTTAATCCCAACACACTTCTTTAATTCTGTTAAATATCACTTACTTTAATGTTGTACTTACCTGAATACCATTGATGAAACACCTAATGTAGGTGTATCCTTTTGATAACAACTAATATTAATTGAATTAAAAACCATTAATCTATATTTTCGAGTCTCAATAATTTGGCGGCAATCCGTTGCAGGATATCGAGAGAAACAACAAGATTGAAGTTTTTTGAACACTGCTAGAATGATGACTGCTTTCCTCGTCATATTATTAAAACTGTACGTGCATGTAAAATACCTCCTTTATTAAAAAATCTGCGACTTATCACAAAATCCCAAATTAAATGCACCAAGGAACTTATCCTTATACTCAAAACAGAACCCCTTGGTTTTGACAAAATTGTTATGGATTTAAATATTGTGTGCCGAATCAAACTCATGAAGACATTAACCGAAACAGTTGTAAAAGAACAAGAGCATGACGTCTTTCCTACTAATCCAGGAAATTACATACGGAATTTATCGAGTAAAAAACAGTCGAATTAAAATGGAAGCGCTTTCCCTTAGATTTCAATTTCATATTCTGAAAAAATTTAACAGAATCGACACCGAAATGCAATTCGAGTATTTATATCAACAGTTGTCAGGCCTAAAACCCATGAATGATGTAAAACAAAGTTGGTTGAAATCAAAATTAGTGGATATTACAAATCAGTGAGTTATGACACCAGTTCAGCAATCTAAGGTGTTGACTTTAGATCGTCAGAAAGCATTGAAAAAGCTTATGAAAGAAAAAACAATATTGCTACTTCGTCCAGATAAGGGTTCCGGTGTAGGCATCCTAAACAGAGACAAATACATTAGCAAAGTAATGTCCATTGTGGATGATTCCACGAGATTTATTGTCGAAGGACTTAACAGATGCGACTGAGAAGCGTCTTTTAAAAAAGTTGAGAGAATTCTTGAAGAAAAATCTAGTCGATAATCATACGTACAATGAACTCAAACCGAAAGAATCGCAATTATCTTACTTATACGGTCTACCTAAAATACAAAAATCTAACATCCCGATAAGACCAGTATTATCTATGACCAAATCGTCTTTCCATAGACTCGCCCGCTGACTGAATAGGTGCTTAGAACCAATCCTCAGGAAACTATCACCCTACAGTCTGAAGGATAGTTCCAAATTTGTACAAAAACTTGACAGCTTAATTGCTTCCGATAAATTCATGGTCTCGTTTGATGTCTCATCACTCTTCACAACGATCCCTTTGGAAGAAACGGCAGATATATGTGAATATCCTGAACTCTTGCCTTTACCAATCCACGAATTCAAACAGCTCCCGTTCCTGTGTACCAGAAACATACAATTTCAACTTAACAGTGTGTTGCACCGCCAAATTGATGTAGTAGCCCTCTGAGTCCAACTCTGGTCGATATATTTATGGGAAACCTGAAGCAGAGGAGGCTCAAGCACGCAATCGATGGGACTACACTACTGTAGATATGTTGATGACACATTACTCGTCTGTAGCAATCATATGCATTCTATGAACCTACTCAATCTGTTTGAGAAAGCACACAAAGATATAGATCTTATTATGGAACACGAAGTAGAAGGTAAATTCCATTTCTTAGATATTGGAATCAGACAAACCTCAGATGGCACATTACAAAGACACATTCACCTCAAAAATATCTGGAATGGAATCTATCTCAATTACAACATTTTCCGTCCAATGAGTTACATAAAGGGTATTGTACGAACCCTTTTTGACTGTGCGCGCAAAATTTGCTCAACGGAATGCCTGGAAGATGAAATTTCTCTCATTACAAATTACTTACGTGAAAATGCATATCCCGTAAAGTTCATTGAGAAGTATGCCAAAACCAACCTTCGGGTTAAATACGATACAGTTGAAAAAAACTGCTTCTTATACTTACGCTTCAGAGGAGATGAAATCATCTATGTCAATTGTTTCACATTTTATCTTAACTCAATGTAAAATCTCAATACATATTTAGTTGTAAGGAGCTGATGAGAAACCACAAAATATAATGAATTCATATTATTGTCCATCCATGTTTGTTCTGGCTTTATTTAACTTCATAAAGGGAACTAATTGCATGAAATTAATCTATATCATTGACGGTAGTAATGGTTAGAGTTATAAAAATTATCACTTGACACCAGTTCCTGTTTAACTCCACATTGCAATTTTTAGTGTAAAAATGAACTTTTCTAGCGTGGTTGTTCTGATTTTTGACAGACAGTGATGTTTTAGAAAAAGGCTTGACTTTTTCCTTTCGAAACATTTAACACACTTATGTATGATGTCCAGCTTTGAATGTTCAGACATCACAGTACATGTTTATCATAAAAGAATTTGTCAAATCTATTCACGTATGTTTATATACTAATCCTGTATCCTTAAATTTCTTATTGATTAACACCGAAAGAAGTTCACATTTCAGCCAAAACGTTCTAGGCTTTCATCAGCTTCTCTGATGTTTTTTTTAGTAAAAGATGATTTTTGACACACTCCTTTACCAAATCAATGTTGCAACGATAATGTATTATGCTTGATTGTGTCTATTCTCATTGTACTTTGTTCAATAGATAGAAAGAATAAATCAAAAAAACAGAAACTTGAAAAAATGGATGTCTCTTTGGAGAATACTAAACTTGTGGCTTCAGACTCAGGTGAATACTGCTTATTTGCATTCTCTTTTGTATACTTTAAGAATCGTAACGACCAACTATCTACTCATCTTATTTCACTAGAGAAGATTTACATTTAGCAGTAAAACAATGCAAGGGATTGCTACAACAAATAGACAACTTACGTAACAGTTAGACATATTGACGTAAAATTTTGCATTGAAGTACATCCACTCAACTTATCATGCACCGAAATCGAATGAATATTAAACAAACCAAAGAGAACTGAAACAGGTGATTCAAGAAAACAATATAAGTGCTACAAATTTCAAGGGTCAAATAGGGTAGTGAGTAAATTTGTGTTATTGTAATCAACTCATGTATCAAACCATTGATTTTTTTTCATGATATGCAATCTGGAAATTAAACCTCCCAAATGATTCAAATTGTGGGTTTTTTCATTTTATGAACTAATGGTGTAATTTAGTACAAAATCTTTGATTCCAACTTTTACTGTGACCACCCCATAGTATCCAGTAAATTGGCTTCACGCATGTGGTGCACGATCTTATCACTTCACTTGACATGGACCAACAAATTTATCATTTAACCTGTCACTCCTACTCAGACTGGTCCTAATGATTTACTTGAAAAGTAGAATACTGTATTGATTTATATCAAGTTGATCACTGAAAATAATTTTACTTCTTTTTCATCTATCTAGCCAATAAAAAGCACAAATTGAAAAAACGGAAATATGAGTGCGTAGACGTAAATATGATCGATTCGCATTCGTGTAAGTAAATAGTCCGATGTTGAAACGGTCGTACTTTGCATTTAATGTACTTGCTTTTTATCCTGTGTTTCTTGTAAGTACTTACATGAACGAAACAAATACAACACAGGGGCTCATTAAGCGTTGATATATATGACAGTTTCCACTTATGTATCCACAATGTTTTTATTTTAGCGAACACTCCACAGTCTCATAAGAAAAAGGAGTTCAAAACCAAAGAAAGAAGTCACATCGGTGACAATCCAAAACACATAGTATTCGATCAAGGTAGGTACACATAGTTTACTTAATGTGTTAAATTACCTGCTTGCAAAATTGAATTTGATTTTTATGTGTATCAATATGTGCGCTTAAAAGATAATCATTTTTGTTCTGTAAATGAACTGTTATCACATTGTCTCGAACAGTATTTCGTGTAAAATTAGAATTTTTTTGTGTTGATAATGATAATATTACTGAGGAATATGCTGATATAAACTTGATTAAGAAGCTGTGAGAACTACTGTACGGAAACTAGTTTTACTTATCATTTGACAATATGAATGAGACTTTACAACGAGCTTCTAAAGTCCCATCAAGCTAGTAAAAATGATATATCGAAGGTAAATCAAGCAAATATAGGATACCCTTTATAGATTACTTTCATAACGTATAGGTTTCCTACTTTGAGACTATCCTTCAGTTAGTCAGTGTACATTATGGTCGTAGTTCATTCATACTGGTCCTATTAGTTGTCTACTATAGCTCATTCATCGCAGTAAATTAAATAGCATTAATTCAACTACAGTTATATCTATTGTTTTTTGAAATAATGTGTTTACTATTTAGTTGAACACTAGCCACAATACAAGGAAAAAAGACCCACTTTTCTTCATTAGATTTTGGTACATAAGCACTCTTTATTACACTTTACTCTAGCGAGATTGTTCTACTTAAATTTAGAATCCGATTGGACCGATCAAAAGTTGTTAAAGTAGTAATTTGAAAAATGATTTCCTGGAAAATATATATTCCATTTACAAAGCTTCTATACTTAAGTGATTGCGATTGCGTAATGCCTTGTATTCAGCCGACATTTTACGTAGTTATATCGAATTCGGTTTGTCAGTGGTAGACACTTTTCATTTTTGTACTTTACTGGACAGTACCCTCGGAATGATCTACTATCAGCTTAGTGAATAGTGTTCACTTTAGTTAAAAGTGATTAAAATTATTTCTACACATTTCAAACTATTTCGTATATCGATGTTAGCGCTTACTCTCGTTACATTTTTTGTTACAATCAGTGATTATACTGACCATATGAAAAGCAAAATTTATTGATACCGACTTCTCCAGACCATAAAAACATGAGTTACTTAGCCGCATAGTTGCAATTATCGTTAAAACGAATTGTTTCAATGATAAACAGCATGAAACCTGACACAATTTTCCGTCGGACCCATTTGGTACACACAACATCTGAACAGTGAAAGAGAGAAGAAGAACAAGTTAAGCTTGGAAGAATCGTGTTGATGATAGGAATTGAGTTTATGAAAGGACGAATGACAATGCGGATAGAAAAGCTAAAGAATGTATACATCTACACTAATTCAACCTATTTCGAGCCACGAATTAATTGCAGTTTTTTGTTTCCTTCTGAGCAATTTTAGGTATGTTTGTGTGTAAATTTAAATTCTTGGGAAAAGTCTATATTGTTTCGCGAATTCAATTTTTGAATCAATGAATCTTGCATTCTTGACAACTGATGTTGAAGAGAAATTCAGTATTCTTCATACATGCACACACCTACAAGGTATTGAAGTTAACCTTAAAAAACATCGACTTAGTTTCGAGAAACCTAGAAGCATATTTCAACAAGCGATCCCCTAAGGACTAGTTGCTCCAATGATGAAAATTTTCCGTTCTTATGCCCCCCCCCCTAATGCTACTTTTACGGTCCATGACGCACGATAGTAATCTTACAAATCACCAATGATTTTAATATTGGTATTTACTTCGATTTCAGCTATATCTAAGCAATTACTTGGTAGATTGTGTTTAAATTATAATTGTTTTCACGTTTTCTGATCTTTCTAGATGGTTATTATATTTGTGAGTGCAAGGCAAAAGAGTTAAAATCTATTAATATTGTTACAAAATTACACAATACTAAATCTTGATTTTGATATTTACGAAACATTAATTGAACTATTATTCTCTGTATGTTTTGTTTGGAAGGTAACAAAAACAAAATTGATGAACCGAAATTAAAGGCGAGTGGTTCAGCTGAAGATGGTGAAATGACATTTTCAGAATCAGGTAAGGAAGAACTTTTCTTCTCCCTTGAGTGTTTTGTAGTGAGACATTGGATAACTTTTCATCGTATGTGCATCTGTGTTGAGAGAATTTCCAACTTAAAGTGATAATGTGGTTACCTAGCTTGTTGGTTAAATCGTATTTACCTATAGCTGTTAGTTCAATTTGTTTAGCTTGAATGGGGACTTGTAGAATTTTCTTACTGCTATTAAACTCACGGTTGTATTCTAAAGTGACTGTATTCTTTGATTTTTGTTAGTATTTAGTGTGTTAATCCCAACACACTTCTTTAATTCTGTTAAATATCACTTACTTTAATGTTGTACTTACCTGAATACCATTGATGAAACACCTAATGTAGGTGTATCCTTTTGATAACAACTAATATTAATTGAATTAAAAACCATTAATCTATATTTTCGAGTCTCAATAATTTGGCGGCAATCCGTTGCAGGATATCGAGAGAAACAACAAGATTGAAGTTTTTTGAACACTGCTAGAATGATGACTGCTTTCCTCGTCATATTATTAAAACTGTACGTGCATGTAAAATACCTCCTTTATTAAAAAATCTGCGACTTATCACAAAATCCCAAATTAAATGCACCAAGGAACTTATCCTTATACTCAAAACAGAACCCCTTGGTTTTGACAAAATTGTTATGGATTTAAATATTGTGTGCCGAATCAAACTCATGAAGACATTAACCGAAACAGTTGTAAAAGAACAAGAGCATGACGTCTTTCCTACTAATCCAGGAAATTACATACGGAATTTATCGAGTAAAAAACAGTCGAATTAAAATGGAAGCGCTTTCCCTTAGATTTCAATTTCATATTCTGAAAAAATTTAACAGAATCGACACCGAAATGCAATTCGAGTATTTATATCAACAGTTGTCAGGCCTAAAACCCATGAATGATGTAAAACAAAGTTGGTTGAAATCAAAATTAGTGGATATTACAAATCAGTGAGTTATGACACCAGTTCAGCAATCTAAGGTGTTGACTTTAGATCGTCAGAAAGCATTGAAAAAGCTTATGAAAGAAAAAACAATATTGCTACTTCGTCCAGATAAGGGTTCCGGTGTAGGCATCCTAAACAGAGACAAATACATTAGCAAAGTAATGTCCATTGTGGATGATTCCACGAGATTTATTGTCGAAGGACTTAACAGATGCGACTGAGAAGCGTCTTTTAAAAAAGTTGAGAGAATTCTTGAAGAAAAATCTAGTCGATAATCATACGTACAATGAACTCAAACCGAAAGAATCGCAATTATCTTACTTATACGGTCTACCTAAAATACAAAAATCTAACATCCCGATAAGACCAGTATTATCTATGACCAAATCGTCTTTCCATAGACTCGCCCGCTGACTGAATAGGTGCTTAGAACCAATCCTCAGGAAACTATCACCCTACAGTCTGAAGGATAGTTCCAAATTTGTACAAAAACTTGACAGCTTAATTGCTTCCGATAAATTCATGGTCTCGTTTGATGTCTCATCACTCTTCACAACGATCCCTTTGGAAGAAACGGCAGATATATGTGAATATCCTGAACTCTTGCCTTTACCAATCCACGAATTCAAACAGCTCCCGTTCCTGTGTACCAGAAACATACAATTTCAACTTAACAGTGTGTTGCACCGCCAAATTGATGTAGTAGCCCTCTGAGTCCAACTCTGGTCGATATATTTATGGGAAACCTGAAGCAGAGGAGGCTCAAGCACGCAATCGATGGGACTACACTACTGTAGATATGTTGATGACACATTACTCGTCTGTAGCAATCATATGCATTCTATGAACCTACTCAATCTGTTTGAGAAAGCACACAAAGATATAGATCTTATTATGGAACACGAAGTAGAAGGTAAATTCCATTTCTTAGATATTGGAATCAGACAAACCTCAGATGGCACATTACAAAGACACATTCACCTCAAAAATATCTGGAATGGAATCTATCTCAATTACAACATTTTCCGTCCAATGAGTTACATAAAGGGTATTGTACGAACCCTTTTTGACTGTGCGCGCAAAATTTGCTCAACGGAATGCCTGGAAGATGAAATTTCTCTCATTACAAATTACTTACGTGAAAATGCATATCCCGTAAAGTTCATTGAGAAGTATGCCAAAACCAACCTTCGGGTTAAATACGATACAGTTGAAAAAAACTGCTTCTTATACTTACGCTTCAGAGGAGATGAAATCATCTATGTCAATTGTTTCACATTTTATCTTAACTCAATGTAAAATCTCAATACATATTTAGTTGTAAGGAGCTGATGAGAAACCACAAAATATAATGAATTCATATTATTGTCCATCCATGTTTGTTCTGGCTTTATTTAACTTCATAAAGGGAACTAATTGCATGAAATTAATCTATATCATTGACGGTAGTAATGGTTAGAGTTATAAAAATTATCACTTGACACCAGTTCCTGTTTAACTCCACATTGCAATTTTTAGTGTAAAAATGAACTTTTCTAGCGTGGTTGTTCTGATTTTTGACAGACAGTGATTTAGAAAAAGGCTTGACTTTTTCCTTTCGAAACATTTAACACACTTATGTATGATGTCCAGCTTTGAATGTTCAGACATCACAGTACATGTTTATCATAAAAGAATTTGTCAAATCTATTCACGTATGTTTATATACTAATCCTGTATCCTTAAATTTCTTATTGATTAACACCGAAAGAAGTTCACATTTCAGCCAAAACGTTCTAGGCTTTCATCAGCTTCTCTGATGTTTTTTTTAGTAAAAGATGATTTTTGACACACTCCTTTACCAAATCAATGTTGCAACGATAATGTATTATGCTTGATTGTGTCTATTCTCATTGTACTTTGTTCAATAGATAGAAAGAATAAATCAAAAAAACAGAAACTTGAAAAAATGGATGTCTCTTTGGAGAATACTAAACTTGTGGCTTCAGACTCAGGTGAATACTGCTTATTTGCATTCTCTTTTGTATACTTTAAGAATCGTAACGACCAACTATCTACTCATCTTATTTCACTAGAGAAGATTTACATTTAGCAGTAAAACAATGCAAGGGATTGCTACAACAAATAGACAACTTACGTAACAGTTAGACATATTGACGTAAAATTTTGCATTGAAGTACATCCACTCAACTTATCATGCACCGAAATCGAATGAATATTAAACAAACCAAAGAGAACTGAAACAGGTGATTCAAGAAAACAATATAAGTGCTACAAATTTCAAGGGTCAAATAGGGTAGTGAGTAAATTTGTGTTATTGTAATCAACTCATGTATCAAACCATTGATTTTTTTTCATGATATGCAATCTGGAAATTAAACCTCCCAAATGATTCAAATTGTGGGTTTTTTCATTTTATGAACTAATGGTGTAATTTAGTACAAAATCTTTGATTCCAACTTTTACTGTGACCACCCCATAGTATCCAGTAAATTGGCTTCACGCATGTGGTGCACGATCTTATCACTTCACTTGACATGGACCAACAAATTTATCATTTAACCTGTCACTCCTACTCAGACTGGTCCTAATGATTTACTTGAAAAGTAGAATACTGTATTGATTTATATCAAGTTGATCACTGAAAATAATTTTACTTCTTTTTCATCTATCTAGCCAATAAAAAGCACAAATTGAAAAAACGGAAATATGAGTGCGTAGACGTAAATATGATCGATTCGCATTCGTGTAAGTAAATAGTCCGATGTTGAAACGGTCGTACTTTGCATTTAATGTACTTGCTTTTTATCCTGTGTTTCTTGTAAGTACTTACATGAACGAAACAAATACAACACAGGGGCTCATTAAGCGTTGATATATATGACAGTTTCCACTTATGTATCCACAATGTTTTTATTTTAGCGAACACTCCACAGTCTCATAAGAAAAAGGAGTTCAAAACCAAAGAAAGAAGTCACATCGGTGACAATCCAAAACACATAGTATTCGATCAAGGTAGGTACACATAGTTTACTTAATGTGTTAAATTACCTGCTTGCAAAATTGAATTTGATTTTTATGTGTATCAATATGTGCGCTTAAAAGATAATCATTTTTGTTCTGTAAATGAACTGTTATCACATTGTCTCGAACAGTATTTCGTGTAAAATTAGAATTTTTTTGTGTTGATAATGATAATATTACTGAGGAATATGCTGATATAAACTTGATTAAGAAGCTGTGAGAACTACTGTACGGAAACTAGTTTTACTTATCATTTGACAATATGAATGAGACTTTACAACGAGCTTCTAAAGTCCCATCAAGCTAGTAAAAATGATATATCGAAGGTAAATCAAGCAAATATAGGATACCCTTTATAGATTACTTTCATAACGTATAGGTTTCCTACTTTGAGACTATCCTTCAGTTAGTCAGTGTACATTATGGTCGTAGTTCATTCATACTGGTCCTATTAGTTGTCTACTATAGCTCATTCATCGCAGTAAATTAAATAGCATTAATTCAACTACAGTTATATCTATTGTTTTTTGAAATAATGTGTTTACTATTTAGTTGAACACTAGCCACAATACAAGGAAAAAAGACCCACTTTTCTTCATTAGATTTTGGTACATAAGCACTCTTTATTACACTTTACTCTAGCGAGATTGTTCTACTTAAATTTAGAATCCGATTGGACCGATCAAAAGTTGTTAAAGTAGTAATTTGAAAAATGATTTCCTGGAAAATATATATTCCATTTACAAAGCTTCTATACTTAAGTGATTGCGATTGCGTAATGCCTTGTATTCAGCCGACATTTTACGTAGTTATATCGAATTCGGTTTGTCAGTGGTAGACACTTTTCATTTTTGTACTTTACTGGACAGTACCCTCGGAATGATCTACTATCAGCTTAGTGAATAGTGTTCACTTTAGTTAAAAGTGATTAAAATTATTTCTACACATTTCAAACTATTTCGTATATCGATGTTAGCGCTTACTCTCGTTACATTTTTTGTTACAATCAGTGATTATACTGACCATATGAAAAGCAAAATTTATTGATACCGACTTCTCCAGACCATAAAAACATGAGTTACTTAGCCGCATAGTTGCAATTATCGTTAAAACGAATTGTTTCAATGATAAACAGCATGAAACCTGACACAATTTTCCGTCGGACCCATTTGGTACACACAACATCTGAACAGTGAAAGAGAGAAGAAGAACAAGTTAAGCTTGGAAGAATCGTGTTGATGATAGGAATTGAGTTTATGAAAGGACGAATGACAATGCGGATAGAAAAGCTAAAGAATGTATACATCTACACTAATTCAACCTATTTCGAGCCACGAATTAATTGCAGTTTTTTGTTTCCTTCTGAGCAATTTTAGGTATGTTTGTGTGTAAATTTAAATTCTTGGGAAAAGTCTATATTGTTTCGCGAATTCAATTTTTGAATCAATGAATCTTGCATTCTTGACAACTGATGTTGAAGAGAAATTCAGTATTCTTCATACATGCACACACCTACAAGGTATTGAAGTTAACCTTAAAAAACATCGACTTAGTTTCGAGAAACCTAGAAGCATATTTCAACAAGCGATCCCCTAAGGACTAGTTGCTCCAATGATGAAAATTTTCCGTTCTTATGCCCCCCCCTAATGCTACTTTTACGGTCCATGACGCACGATAGTAATCTTACAAATCACCAATGATTTTAATATTGGTATTTACTTCGATTTCAGCTATATCTAAGCAATTACTTGGTAGATTGTGTTTAAATTATAATTGTTTTCACGTTTTCTGATCTTTCTAGATGGCTAATATATTTGTCATTACAAAGAAAATAGATATGTCTATAATGTTTTTAAAAATATTCATTCCTCGGAGTATCCTCTCATTGGTAAATTTGTAGAAATGATTTAAATATTAAAGTTATCTTTTCACAGTTAATAAAGATTTTTTGATTAATTCGTGCTAATGCTATTGTAGTTTATAAATCAGGAAAGTCAGTCGTCCAGGGCACTCGTATTCAGTCAGACACTGAAGCTGATATTTTTATGTTGATCGTTAATATCCGCTAAATAAGAAACACCTCAGCCTTAATCCACTGTTATATCGTAATCTCATTTATTATCGTGTACGTTCACAGCCTGAATAGACTGGTCTCAACAATCCTTGCGTCTTCGTGCAAAGCAACTCGGTTCTCCGTGTTGTTAGATGCGTAAAGGTTTGAATGTGGTTGCAGAGAAGAGTGCTATGGCGTTACTTGAGGAGATAGCTCTATGTTATTAAAGTACTGTTGGAGAAGTGTATATATGGTACTAATTATTGACTATTACTCATAATCCCTGTTAAATCAAATAGGTTATGTCGTTTCCAATGACTTTATAAAATTGACTGGGGCACCTACTTTGTGTGAGAATTGTGGGGTTGGCTATAAAAGTATTATTTTACTAAAAAAAAGAAATTGCGACAATAAGACGGATGTATCCATTTTCAATAAGTGACTCATCTTTAAGCATCTCTATTTCAAGTGATAATAATGTCGCATAGAAAATAAGTAAACGTCTTAACATTGTATTAACTATAACCTAGCTTTCAATAGCCAAATCGACATATATACTCTCTTTGCTACGGGTTGAATAGCCGAACCTCAAATAAAATTATTCCTTTCAACAATTATTATCGGTTTGACACGTAAGTCTATTAGGTTGGCAGCAGACGGTCACCATTATCTGTTCGCTGAGCCAGAATACCAAAATACTCACTGAAATATCCATCTGTTGGATATAATCTACCTAGCTGGACATTAAATTCACCTTCTATGAACACTATGTCTGAGTGTTTAGCTTTTTGAAGAAATCCAGAAAGCTTTCTGTGAAAGTCATCCTTCACTTCATCCAGGTTGCAGTCAGAGGAAGCATAGGAAGAAATGACGAGAAGTTAACAATGTGTGTCCCTATCCTTCCGATTTCTTATGGAGCCGTTTAGCCGAACAGTACATAGACGACTGTTAACGGGGATCTACTGTATTAGTGCTTGTTCTGCCCTCGTACTTAGTGCTATGCCTACACCTGCCAGTTCACGAGAACTAGCCATCGGGTCGCCAGATACGCGGAGGGTGTATCTCGTCGGATCCTCGTTTTGCGAGGTGAGGTCAAGTAAATGACCACACTAGGATCCTGTGTTCGTGTTCCCTCGCGAAGATTGTTAGGTGTTTTCCTGGACATTTCTTCAGGATAGACTGTATTATCTGATAGAACAGGTCTTCATAATCTTTACTGACATCATTGATGGGTGTGTATCGGTGGGCAATATTCATTACAATGTTTTCTTTTTTTGCTTTGGAGTATGTTTCGATAATCCTGTCGCCTTAGGTCTCCCATCTTATAGGCGGTTTTCGTGTTTTTCTGGACAGCATCAGTGCAACTCGTGTATGTGTTGCGCTTTCTTCCTTATGACGAGAATACAACAGTTCTACTGAAATGAAATGATTTCTGTCCAGATTGTGTACATGTAGTTTTACTTATTTCACGCAGATCTGGCTTGTGTATTGTCATTTCTGTGACTTTAGATGATCCGGTTTTTCGCGCAATCTGGACATCCCGCACCATTTATTTGTGCTTCTCTGATCGACGGAAGTGGCGTTGCACTTGTGTCTGGTTGTTCAGCAAAGATGTACTACTATAATCTGATTATGACGAGTTTATTGATCAAGTATCAAATAAATTCTCCACTTCATTTAAAAAATATCCCCGTATGAAAAGTACGAATGGCAAATCAAATCTTCCTACTGAGTTTACTGTTTTTACTTTGAACCAAAGTTCTTTATGGTCATCACGTTAATGTGAAACAATACTTAATTATTTGAAGATATGCTGTACTATCAATTGTGTCTCACGAAAATGTAAAATTCATTTTGTCGGGTGTTTGAGTTACGACCTTTAGGCTAGGTTATTTTTTAAGGAATGCCTAACTGTATGGTAACGCGTCTACATATACGAAGACGAAAAACATGAATAAGGAAACAGTATGAGATGCCTTTGGAATCACAGTGTGGAAAAGTTTACAACTCTGATATTCAATGGGAAGATGTTAAAAGAACTCAGCGACCACTAGTTAAATCACTGCGTTTAAACAGATATTTCGTTTAAAAATCCCCATATTAAAATACTAATATATGAACGATGATTATTCTTTCCAGTAAATTCTCTTTGGGTTCTGCTGTAATTTTTATTTGTTTTACGAACAATCTTAAATTCACATGTTATGGTTTTATATGATGTACTTCTCTTAAACGTAGTCACTCTTTGGATTATTAATTTGAATGTGGAACTGAAAGAAAATTTATTGGAAAATAATACTCCGTTCATATATTAGTGCTTTACTTATCCCTTTTTTCGTCTCACTTTAAACAGTTGGCCTTCACCACATAAAGCTTAAGCTACGATTTAGTTTAAGAAATTATGAAGTTGAATAACCTCACTAGAAAAAGTGGTTTCAGATTATACGCTAATTTCTTATGATGATATTTTTATTTTTACGAAATCTGGTGTGTATAACTTGACCGATTCAAGGACTATTCTGCAATGTTTTAAAGTAGCATCATAAGTTGTATCCTGTTAGTGCTACATTTAGATTGTCTACATGATTCTCTCTGGTATAAAATTTTACCGTTTCAAAACCCCTTGAAAAAACTTCCCGTCTATAGAGATAATATGTGCAAACATTCTCGTTGTGATACAATAGTAAACAGGACTTTGTTAACTTGAGTTACTTTTTTCATCTTTTGTCGCAAATTATTTCGGAAAGAAAGCACATCAAATCACTAATCGATCTATAGATTACGTGTATTCAATAATCAATGACCACTTATTTTATACCACAATTGCTTCATACATCAATACGCAAACACTTGAAAGAGGGTATTACCAAGTAGTTTTATTTCCATATAGTTTTATGTTTTGTTTTAACTTATATTCATTGAGGAATTTGTATTCCTAGCAATTCTTACGCTTGTGTTGCAATGCGATTTTGAAGTGTTTATATATATTCCTGACATTTATTGTGTTTATCATTGTAATTAATTTATCTCAATCATTGTTGCAATTCTTCACAACTTCGTGTATTTAGTCATCCATTGTTTAAACACAACGGTTCCCATATTGCTTGTTCTTGGTTCGTTCTTTTGCGTGTTCATAAACTGTTACAAAGTATTGACAGCTGGCTTTTGCACTATCGTATGTTGTAATTTTTCTTTATGTTACTATCACAGGAATCCTTTTTTATCTCAGATAATAATACGCCGCAGACACCTCTTACGTTGAGGCTTGTAACTAACTTTTGTATTTTATTCAATAAAGAACCGGTTTTGTACAAATCGTCGTTTTGTAACCTTCGATTTTGCGCGTATCTCAATTGGGTGACTCAACACCATTATTTAGGCAAGTTACGCTGTATCGTGTACCAGCTCAGATTTTGGAGATCGCTGGTAACAACACAGGTCTGTAGAGTCAGCAGTACGACTTCGCCCACAGGCCTCGAGGAACGACTTTTTCATTAAGTATGACTTGATTAATTAACCACGATAGACTAACCCGACCAACACTTCAAGGTAGCAACAACGAACAGCTCTTTAAGATAAGTGGTTATGCTAAATAACACGCGTATTGAACAACTCGATTCTTTTCTTGTTTACATTTTTAAAAATCAAAGATCCAATCTTCACTCTTATGGCATAGTTAAAACAGCATTGTTGAATCAGTTCGTGACTAAATCCTTGTCCTATGAAGGCATAAGTTTATTAGAACATATTTAAAAAACAACCAGAAAGGCATTATCAGATATTCTAGACAAGATGTGTTTCTCAATCAATAAATCTAGATAACTTAATTACATGTGTATGGGGCCTAAAACAGCGTTTACTACTACTCACAGTGAAGAAAAGTAGGACGAGACAGGAGGTTGGAACTTTTTTATTTAATAGTACCAAAGTTAAACATGTAAAATTATACATAACTACAAAAAATCCTTTAAATTTTCTTTGTAAAATACTAGTTTGTTTCTAAAAATAAATGTTTTGTTTTCCCTACATTGTAATATTCATGATTGTCCAGTTATTCTCTTCATTCTGCTTCTAAAACATAGAATTGGCTTTTTCGAAACAAACAATAGAAAGAATGAATTGGTGGAACTTTCCCAGCATTATAAACACTAGAACAATTAATAACATTCAGTAGCAATTATTGCTTAAGGTCAAGTTCACAAAATTTTTAGTAAACTGACTGGTGTGTTACTTTTGGGTCGAAATCTTGTAATCAGATTTAATTCATTACTGTGAAATTCAATATTCGTTATTTAAAACTTCGGAACGACCAATCATAAAACGGGTCTCTAACATAGTAGCAAAAGCCTAAATATTAAGTTCAGGAACCGCGGCAATATGTGAAATCCGGCTTAAGAGGGGGGAGTATCGGAGAGACGGTAAATAGGTTTGTTACTGGTTTTATGTCCAGGCAATGAATAATATCAATCCGCAAAAGATAATTATTACATTGAAATTATGAACCACCATTGGAAACCTGGAACCACTAGACAGCCGTTTCGTCACAATATGGGACATCCACGATAACGCTAGCGGGACTTGAGGCGACTGGGTTTTCATCCGACGGTGTTAATGTCTAGCTTCAACCAATCCATGATGTCGCGCGACCATCTTACATTGTTTTTTGTAACTGCCTCACACTCGATACGGGGACTAGTGAAGTGCTGAAACAGCAACTGGATTTAGCATCTGGAAAAGCATTGACTTTTATAAAATAAATAGTTGTGGACTACTTGGTTAAAGTTAACGTGATCATAGTAACCAATGTTAAGAGATTTTGAATGACATAGACCAAATGCACAGGTGCACACATTTTTTCTCCGAGTGTTGAAATCTTTCTAGATCTTATTTTTATTACAGATACGGTTAATAGTTTAGAATTTCTCTTGAAATATTTTTATCTCGCTGTGCTAATGTGATATGGCAACTTAAACCGATGCCCTTGTGTTAGGTTATACGTTGAGTATGATGATAATGACATCTATAAGGATAGCACACATTCTTGTATGGAATATTATATTACTTAGTGGTTTTTCGGTGGTTTGTTAACATAATCAACTGTATTATCAATTTCAATACTGAACGGTTGCTAAGCTTTCGGATTAACGCGAGTCAGTCCGAATTACAGATTAATATCACATACTTCTCTACTCAACTCATGCACGTTAGCATTCAACTAGTAAGCACTTTAAAATGACTGGAATACGCAACATAAAATCGGACATTTTTGATTTAAGTTGAACATCGACATCATCATGTGTTGATGTCCCGAAGACAACAGTATTCTTCGTGGTCCAAATCCTTAAGGTCACTATTTTTCTGCAAAGTTTTTTTAAAGATTAATGAAAAACGTCATTCTCTTTAATGGGATTTAGTCAGTGGTGTAATCTGCACGAATTTGTATAACTGGAGTAAGTTTATATTTCAAGTTCAATGTTTTTCGTGCACATAAGATGCAGAAAAAATTATAATCTGCTAGCTAAAATACTCTATAAGAAGCATGTTCGTCTAATGTAGCAAAATTACCATCCGAAGAACGTTGGGTGCTATATAAATAGTACGTTATACGATAGGCTTTCCGATGGTTGGTAGATAGATGATTATTTATGGTAGGAATGTCACTACCAAAATGCCCTGGTACGCCGAGGGTGGGGAGCATCATCTCTCACTTCAGAAATACTCTCACATGGACACGCGTATACAGCAATTGCGAGAGAACTCCTACTCACTGCCTTCTCGCGGAGAGGGTGCTGTTTACGAAATTGAAAATACGAAAAGCGAATGTCCGGTGCCTTAACTGAGTTGGTGGATATGGAGGACCCATCTAAAAGAGTTAGCTGGAGAACCCTAATTCCAAACCAATGGTGCACATGGGCTCCAGGATCCTGTTTGAACGAAAGGTGTATGGACCTATTGTTAGTCACCGGTTACCATGGGACGGCATTTCCCAGGGCTACTCTACTGCCTTGTGGATCAGAGCTCTTGGTCAAAGGTTCAGGTAGTGGCTCCCTAAGAAGAACACCTACTCTGGTTTGCGCACCCGAGTAGTGTTCCAACTCTGGCAGAAATCGAATAATTTGTGTGGCGCATATGTATTTGATGCCTCATTGTACCAATGTTTGTTTGAATAAACACGACGATGGAACACCATACTGATACACTTGTCAAAACAGAGAAAAGGTAGAAAAATTTTCGACCAGTTTGGAATTCCCTCCGGACGCTACTGGAATCACGTTCATTAGGGAATCTAATGTCTTCTGTGAGACTTGTAGGTATCATCAATACCTACGAAGTTCGAGAGTCGACGAGGTGCAGTTTTTTATATACTGTCGGCAAAATAGGATTCGAGATCGTCACGTACGTACTTATATTCATTATTGACAATATAAATAGACAACCAATCATTTTCAGGAAAAAACACGGTTAAAATATTCATTTACACAAAGCATAATCTATTACTACCTGCATAAAATAGTTGGGAAATCCAGACAACAAGAACGGCGTTAACAGTAAAAAATAATAAAATGTCTGTACATCTAAGATAAGTAATGAAAACGTGTACGTCATCGTAACCTCACTTAGTGGCTGTTTTATTAATATGATACATTGAATGAAATTCCTTAAGTTCAGTGATTATGTTTAAAAACTAGAAAGGAGAACGAACTTATTATTTAGAACTTTACTAACACTTCGAAAGGATCGTAATTCAGAGAGGTGAGCAAGGTAAGTTATCAAAACTTAAAGATAAATATCGAGATCTTAAAAATACTAATTCAACAGGACTAAGTGAATATCTGAAGTGTAATGGTTGGCAAACGCAAACCAAATATTGGTCCACGCTATTATTTTTTAAATAACATTTCATACTAGAGATGTGATTAACTTATTTCAAGTTTTATTACACTGTTTGGAGCAAAAATCAATACTTAAGTTATTAGAATCACTGAGTGAACCTGTCAGATTGATCGAAATGGGATTAATTCTTGCCACTTTAATATCATTAATATATAACGCTGAAGTGATTTTGAACAAATATCTGTGGTTTACAGATAACTAAATAACAAATCACTGGCGAAACTGATCAGTTAATCTTCAACGAAACATGATTAAATCCCTAACTCCGAGTTGGTGTGATCAAAGCTCTACAAGTCAGTCACAACGTATAACCTGGTACGTATGTGCATCAGTTGAAGTAGTTATACTTCATTACCACAAAAAATTGAATTGTCAGGCCGAATGTCAGAATATTAGAGGTGGTAACAACACCAGTGCTAATAAAGAAATTAGGCGTCGAAGATGATATTTGAAAAGAAAATATAAGGTTATGGGAAATTTAGGATCTCAAAATTCGGAGAACGGATGCATCTGCGCCATTGTATACAATTTTGAACCATGTTATCCATACTTCCAAACCATTGGTTTCGATAACCACGCGGACCCCAAACAGTCAATAGTCTACACCTATTAACATAGCCAAGTTCAGTTGTTAGCGACTTCATGAACTGATTCTGTGTTTTGGTTTGGCCGCTTTCATAGCTTTCTTACAACCTTCCCTATACTGGAAAACATCGCCCTTTGAGGTAGGCAGTGGTCGGGCACATGCAACATATGTTCCAATCACCTCAGTTTATGAAGAATCATCACCTCATCAATCGACTGGACAAACTAAATAAGTAAAGATTGACATCAAATCCATAATCCAGTAGTTTAAAAAGATCGAGTGCTTCAACAACTAATTCATTACTCGACAAAGAGGATTACATTTCGATGTCACTATTTCTAGTCCATATGAACAGTGATCATCTTTTTAACTGGTCCACAAAGTCACATGTTACAAAAAACACGTTTATGATAAAATAATCATAAATCGTTATTGAACATAAATAAATCACAACTATTCACTTGCAAGAATGCCTTGGGATTTAAATCGGAAAAAAATCAAAACGCTCGGATTGCCAGTTTATAACTTCTCCAAAGTTTAGAACTTCATTTCTTCTCAAATCCAAATTACAAAAAGGCTGTTATACCTCGCATTCTATGAGGAAGATGTGTCAATTTGTTTTGCTGAGGTTTCGTTCTCTGAGACATGAAGTTTTCATTATTTTACTGAACGAATTCAGCATAAACTTCAGTTAGAAGTGAGGTATACGAATTTCTCCACATATGGTTGACAACTTGTTCTGTCAATTGGTCATTTTTTACTTTTACCCTGTCGTAGTGTCCATACTTTGATTTTTTTCCACCTATTACCTGAATCCCAGTTTATATTTACTCATGGTTAGAAGCATCTGCGCATTAAATAGGTCCTGGCAATGATCAATATAAGCATAACCATTGAGGACTTCAGATAGTAATATATAGCCTTTGATCATCAAAACAGAACTACGTTCTAAAGAGAGCAAGAACAAAAATTGGTGCAGAATAATATGAATTCATTTTATTTCGTTAGGTTCTCATCAGCTGCTTACAACCTAAATTATTTAAAATTCAACATTAATACAGATATTGACATATTTATATATAAGAGTGTGATTAAGGATCAATACATGTGTATGATGATGTAGCGAATAACTACGTTCATTACGCCTTAAGTTACACACATAACTCCAAAGGAAGATGTTTGAACACCCAATTCAACAAGCTTAAAAAAAATCAGCTTCGAACTTTAGAAAGCTAAGAAACAATAGTGAATTTTTATCGATTAATTCTCACGTTTGGAGAAAGAAAATATTAAATAAAACAACATATATAATCAACTACAGAATATCTTATAACACAACATATTGTCACTCACTCCATGGTCGACATTCAAAAGGAAATCCACTAAATACATTGTTTTTTAACATCATAATAAGTGGCCAATTGAATCCTTGTTTTACGAAACGAATAAACACATTTCTAAAATAACAATAATAATAATTTAAAAAACTAGAAGAAACAATAAGATTGATTATTGTCAATCATTGTGTCAATGATTAGACATTTACACGTAGTCAAATTATCTTTCTAAATGATAAAAACATGTGAAACCGTAAGTTCGTAATACAATATGAAATGGTGATTTATTGCTTTTCAGTTCTCAGTGATTATCCAACTAACGATGGTTTGTGATGAAAAAAAATCTTCAACACGTACATTTCTTGAAAAAGTCTAGTTCGATAGTGATAAGAATAAATCTTTTCATAATAATAAAATCGAAGTTGTTTATACACTCACCTAGTGACTAAATCATTATTAGGTATTGAATGATAATCAATTATAGTATTTTCAGGAAATTGTTTACGAATTTTATCATCGTCAATGTTTGATAGTACTCTAACAAGTTCAAACCCATGAATATCTTGTGTATCATCAGCACCACAGGATTCATAATGAAGAGTTGATTGAACACCAATTATAGCTTTAATAGTCTGACCTCCAATTAATTTGTGATGACAATCTTCAAATACATCTTCGAGATCTTCTGAACATTGAAATTTTAGCAAACATGACCTAAGTTATTATGTAGTAAAAAAAACAACAGCAGAAAAAACAAATATTATAATATATACGAATATTCGTCAAGATTAGAACGAATAGTTTGACAGTAATTGAGCGCCGAGTATAGAGAAGTCATTATATGTGAAAATTATATTTGAAATATTCTCAGCGATTGAAATATAACTAATTCCAACGTTTCGTCCAGCTAACTTGTCTGGACTTCTTCAGGGTAATAATCAAAATCAAAATTATCAAAGAAATATATAGCTTTTAACAATCAGGATTATACTGTGTTAAACCAATCATATTTGGGTGTTGATTTTTTGTAAAATAGGATAAAATGAGTCAGTTGACTACAAATCATGTGATGAATTCAACTACATGGAAATACTTAACTGAGTAACAAATCGTATGTGTGTGTGTATGTATGTATGCATGTGTGAGAGATTGATATGAAAGAATAAATAAAGTTCAAGTTCAAGGATGAAAAACTTGATAATGAAAGATAGATGTGCATGTCAAAACATAAATTGTATTGTTTAGAAACTCATTCAGTTCTTTCAATAATAATAACGATGCATGTGATATTAAAAACAGGTTTAAACAAGAGATAGGTTCCAAATTTACTTGTCAAACGGAATTTGCCAGGTAGTTGCCATTTGAATACCATCTTTTCGGTTCAGGCTGTTCTTGTTCGCCCATATATGCAGAGCTTCTGCTGTCAATCTTTCTTTATGGGTGTTAAAACCTTTCTGAAGTATTTTGGTCCCTTCAAAATTAATCTTGTGTCCTGTTTCTAACGCATGTAACGCTATCGCTGACTTATTTTCAAGTTTCTTTAAATCTACCGAGGATTTTGGAACATTTTTCAAGCATTGTTTGTGTTCCTTCAATCTTACATTTAATTGCCTGGATGTTTCTCCAACATAGGTAGCATTACAGTCATGACAGTGAATCTCATACACAATGTTCTGTTGTTCTTCCTTTGCTAACTTGTCCTTAACTTTCACCAATGTCGATCTTAATGTGTTATTTGCTCTAAAATACACTCTTATATCATGTTTGTTTAGAATCCGTTTGATTTCTTCTGATGTTTCACTCCGGTAAGGTATGACTACGGTGTACTTCCATTCTTTTCGTATACTTTCTAGTTTAGTTTTTCTTTCATTTTTAATAATCTTTTTTAAAAACCTTTTTGGGTAGTTGTTATCCCTCAGAGTAGAAAATACTTTATTTAATTCGGTTCTTTGGTCTTCCTTGTCTGTAACAATCTTAGTACTTCTGTTCATTAGATTTTTCACTACATTAATTTTCGTGCTCTGTGAATGGGCTGAATTAAAATCCAGAACATTGTGTATGAGATTCACTGTCATGACTGTAATGCTACCTATGTTGGAGAAACATCCAGGCAATTAAATGTAAGATTGAAGGAACACAAACAATGCTTGAAAAATGTTCCAAAATCCTCGGTAGATTTAAAGAAACTTGAAAATAAGTCAGCGATAGCGTTACATGCGTTAGAAACAGGACACAAGATTAATTTTGAAGGGACCAAAATACTTCAGAAAGGTTTTAACACCCATAAAGAAAGATTGACAGCAGAAGCTCTGCATATATGGGCGAACAAGAACAGCCTGAACCGAAAAGATGGTATTCAAATGGCAACTACCTGGCAAATTCCGTTTGACAAGTAAATTTGGAACCTATCTCTTGTTTAAACCTGTTTTTAATATCACATGCATCGTTATTATTATTGAAAGAACTGAATGAGTTTCTAAACAATACAATTTATGTTTTGACATGCACATCTATCTTTCATTATCAAGTTTTTCATCCTTGAACTTGAACTTTATTTATTCTTTCATATCAATCTCTCACACATGCATACATACATACACACACACATACGATTTGTTACTCAGTTAAGTATTTCCATGTAGTTGAATTCATCACATGATTTGTAGTCAACTGACTCATTTTATCCTATTTTACAAAAAATCAACACCCAAATATGATTGGTTTAACACAGTATAATCCTGATTGTTAAAAGCTATATATTTCTTTGATAATTTTGATTTTGATTATTACCCTGAAGAAGTCCAGACAAGTTAGCTGGACGAAACGTTGGAATTAGTTATATTTCAATCGCTGAGAATATTTCAAATATAATTTTCACAAATATTATAATAGTTTGTTGAAAATTATTTATTAAATATACTTTCGACCACAGTGATTGTATACGTGTGAAAAATATTGGTAGTAGTCATTTCAACTTGTTTAAATATAACAGATGGATAGAATAAGAGACTTGTATGTAAGAGGAGTTAATATCATGAACAATTAAGTATTCTGCAACTTAACTGATAAAAGATTGATAGCAATTTATACAGTTAACAGCGGTATACATTGCAAATCATTAATACAATACAGTTTAGTAAAGTGAAATTTAGGTTGAACATTTTTGTGACTGCCAGGACACAGTGTAGATGTTCAAACCGAAGTATGCAAAAGAAGGTTTGCACTAAGGAGTCAATAGTTGGACGGTGAGTAGTTTGAAAAGCAAATCACTGCTCCAATTTACAGATATTCAAATTCAAAATATGCCACAGCATATCACTTATCAAAATTAAGTGGGAACCAGGGGCTATAATTTCAGGGTTAAATGGTGCTATTGGGCATAACTCTACTCTTTAGTAAGTTGATACACTTTCTGTGAGATTTGATTCAACATTGCCTAGCATGACGATACATTTCCATTCACAATCACATTTATTTATAGTGCTATGCTAGCACTGATTTATGATATACAGTTCCATACAATTGGTTCTGAGCTTCACTTTCAGTATGAAGACCGGTGACGATAACAAGCCGCTAAGCCGAAGTAGTTGGATCAACGTTTAACTTGCAACCAGGCGATTTACTTTTTGAAGCATCACTTTAAAGTTCCACGTAAGAAATATCACTACTGATCTACTATTGCAACTACTATGGAGGACACCGAAAACCAATATTTCTGTGTACAATCAATTTTTCCGAATCTCCATAAAGTTGGACAGTTTATGAAATAAAATAGGGTGGAATCAAAGAATTTTGACGCGAAGTTATATACTCTCTGTTGGTCGTTATCTTCGAATGCAAATCAGACAAATTGAATTGTAATATCTAATAAGCACACGATTACACAATGGTAAACGTTACTGATCAGTTTCCGGAAACAAGTAAACGTTCACTTTAAAAAAGGTCCCTAGCTAGTCAGGGTATTAACGTCACTTAAAATGATAAAATGAAGACCAAAATAGTTTACTTTTTCTGTACATCCCATATATCAGTTTTTAATTTTATAGATACTGCTGTAGGAAATTCTACTTTAAGCTGAGTTAGTGTAGTCGACTGAGGCAGGTTTTGAACAGTTAATTCAACATTTTCTGGCTGAATTACATTTTTGGATTGTGATGGTCGACAAATAGATTTTACAGTTGGCTAAAGTAAAACAAAGAAGAATCAAGTATAGTATGTAAAACGAGAATGTTATCATTTCGAGGTAAAGTAACTTTAAATGTATGTTAATCTCACACTAACAGAAAATTATTCATGTGTGATACCAAGATAAGATGCTAAACGTAGTTCAATTTACATCAATAAATGATCATATTCGGTGTAATAAATGAGTAATAAAGACTAATGAGAGAATTTTTTGACTGGCTATTTAAAGTTGTTACAAAAATACTTTACAAACAACTAGATAAGCGAGGAGGGATAATTAATTGATCTGTGACGTTTTTATAAGTGTATGGAACATTATGAAAACAGGTGAAGCACATATACTTTAGAAAAAGCTTCATGTCTAAATACTCAGTCCTAGAAATTGTTCCTCACTCCCGATGGGATTACGAGACCAGAAACTGTCTTACTAGTTTGGAGATACTGAGTGCAGACTAATCTGAATACGCCTATTTGATCACCAAACAGTAATCGTTTACCATTTTTGACTAACAAAATACATCTGAAACATAGAATTAATAAACTCCATGGACAGTGTTGTAATATGACTGAAGTGACTTTTTTTGTCATATTCATGGATTTTAAATGTTGTTACTCTTGGTCAATCACTTTTAAACTGAGTCATATCGGGACGTGCAAATTTATTGACCATAATCTATGAAATGATTACAATCTATGGTTCAAATTTTGGGTCTCATGGCTCACAATTGGTTGTAGTGAAGTATGAGTATTCATTACTCATCTTTTTTTCCGCTCGATTCTTAAGTAGCAAAACTAAATCATATTTTTATCCTCTAATTTTATTAGTTATTTTTTAAATTGCGTTCTCCATCAAGTCTATCACTTTCATTGGGATCATTATGTCGACACATCTGGCCTTATTTAACGATGCCTTTTTTATCCTGATATGAAATGTGGCAACGTCGCCTGATGCACAATTTCACTACGTCCTGTGCATCCTCTGATTGATCTAGTGATAGTTAACTACCGACTTCCCCGAAAATAAATGTGCTTCATTAGAAATAGCACTATCACAGGAGAACAGAATATTTACCAAAACATTTGTTTAACATTATCAATAGAGAATTAACAAAACTAGTTATCTAGAACACTCGACCATTTATTGATGAATTAGTGGTTCATATTGTTTTAATTTATTTCTGGTTTATTTATAATTCACTTTAATTTGATATTAGGTTCATTTTAAACAAACAATAGTGAATTTACTGAAACTTTACGTTATTGATAGATGATAAATCATAACACACTCTGTAGTGCATTGGGTAGATTTTTGGAGTGGTGGGTTAGTCCCAAGAAAAACATCAGCAATCCTGTTCACTTGGTATTGTTTTTGCGTGTATCTTCCCATTGAGGTTTAAGACTGCAATTTATTAGTCTGTTATTTGCATACGTGCATACTGTGCGTATTGCCTTAATTCACAAGCTATATAAGCAAAGATGGAAAGTGGCTAGCAGTGGAATCTCAGAGTGAACATCAACTCTAAGATGCAGGTACATCCGGCTGACGAGTCCTGAATAGGGCGAAACGTGAGTCCTGGATTCCACTGCTGGCCATTATCCACATTTGCTTATCAGCAATCCTGGTTGTTAAATAAGACAACGAGAAATGTAAACTCTATTGGCAACGATTATTGACTAATCAGCTAGAGATTACAGTTAACCCTAACTGTGCTCATATCCTCTAGTTCTACATATATGACGTTCGAACTCCAATTTATTTTAAAAATTTTAGGTAACCTAACAACATCACTAGGCTTAATATAATATAAGTGCTTCATAACCTAGTTTATTTAGTCTGGGTATCGCTGGTGAGTTGTACTTCTGATCAAATTATTAAATTATCAGCTACACCTACAAGTTTGTGATTACAATGCAAACAATATTAACCAACAAATATGAGTGACAGGATATTAAACAAATGATTCAGTGGATAATTTACAGTAATTATACTGTTCATAAAACTAAATAACTAAAATCGAAAATGTTACTTATAATTTACTCAAATAGATGGTACAGTAAAGTGAGGAGCAATTATAGACCAGATTGGTTGATAAAATAGCAAACCATTCAGACAAATTACAAAGTAGGAGAAGGTTAACTGTTTGCCGATACAAAGATAGGTGATTTTTTATTTGTATCTATACAGAATTACTTGTCATATCCACTATACCAATAAAATTGAAGTCAGTCAGTTGGTCATACGCAACACAGAACCAGGCACATGTAAGTCGCGGTTTAAGCTTTCATACTCCGTTAGCACAGTGAGATGGAATTGTCACGACGAATCCCAGAGTAGCAAAGGTAGTAATGGTATTATTGGTAATTGAAAAGTTTATTCAAGAAAATATAAATTAACAAATTAAAGAAAGATTTGACTAGAGGAAGAACAATTAATTTAGCATAGTAACATGAATTCATTATATTTCGCTGTTTATCATTAGCTGCTCACAACCTAAACATAATAGTATCAATTGCACACCATCTGCATGACAGTGGTCATGGTAATACTGTCTCGAATTCCTTCAAGATAAATAATAAACAAAGAACGTCAGATTTTCTACGGCTTCCCCAATCAGCTGCCATGAATAGACTCAAACCAAATTTATGTATTCAGAAAGACTCAGTTGTCAATCGTGCTTTGCCGCGGTAAACTCATTCATAAATTTTCGTTGAGCAATTCGGTTTTAATGAGACTAATTAATACTCACATCTTATCTGATGCGTACTCAGTTAGTTGATTTTGTTACAAGGATTACATAATTATAGCATTAACTTACTTACGCCTGTTACCCCCAATGGAGCATAGGCCGCCGACCAGCATTCTCCAACCCACTCTGTCCTGGGCCTTCTTTTCTAGTTCCATCCAAATCTTGTTCATTTTTCTCATGTCTATCTCCATTTCTCGGCGTAATGTGTTCTTTGGTCTTCCTCTTTTCCTTTGACCTTCAGGATTCCATGTGAGGGCTTGTCTTGTGACACAGTTGGGTGCTTTCCTCAATGTGTGTCCTATCCACTTCCAGCGCTTCTTCCTGATTTCTTCCTCCACTGGGATCTGGTTTGTTCTCTCCCACAGTAGGTTGTTCCTAATAGTGTCCGACCAATGGATCTGAAGTATTTTGCGTAGACAACTGTTAATAAACACCTGTATCTTCTGGATGATGGCTTTTGTAGTTCTCCAGGTTTCTGCCCCATACAGTAGAACTGTCTTGACATTTGTATTGAAAATCCTGACCTTGGTGTTGGTTGACAGTTGCTTTGAGTTCCAGATGTTCCTCAGTTGTAAATATGCTGCTCTTGCTTTGCCGATCCGCGCCTTCACATCTGCATCAGATCCACCGTGTTCATCAATGATGCTGCCCAAATACGTAAAGGTTTTTACATCTTCCAAATCTTCTCCGTCAATTGTGATTGGATTGGTGCATTCTGTGTTGTATCGGAGAATCCTGCTTTTCCCTTTGTGTATATTGAGACCTATTGCTGCTGAGGCTGCTGCCACACTGTTTGTCTTCTCCTGCATCTGTTGTTGCGTCTGGGATAGAAGGGCCAGATCGTCTGCGAAGTCTAGATCATCCAACTGCATCCTAGATGTCCATTGTATCCCGCGCTTTCCTTCAGACGTTGACGTCTTCATGATCCAGTCGATCACCAGGAGAAAGAGAAAGGGTGAAAGTAAGCAACCTTGCCTAACACCGGTCTTCACTTCGAACGACTTTGTCAAGTGTGCTCCATGCACAATTTTGCAGTGTATTCCATCAAATGATCTCTGTATGATATTGACTACCTTCTGAGGCACGCCGTAGTGTCGAAGAAGTTTCCATAGTGTTGTTCTGTCCACGCTATCAAGAGTTCTTTGAAGTGTTCTACCCACCTGTTTCGTTGCTCATCAATGTTGATGATTACCTCGCCTTCCTTGCTTTTCACTGGTCGTTCTGGTTTGCAGCGATTTCCAGAGAGTTTCTTTGTTATGTCATACAGTTCTCTCATGTTTCCTTCTCTTGCAGCCTTTTCCGCCGTCATTGCTAGATCTTCCACATATTTACGTTTGTCATTTCTGATGTTCCTCTTCACTTGCTTGTTTACTTCTGTGTATTCAGCTTGTGCCTCGGCTTTTTCTGCTCTTGTTCGACTGGTATTGATTGCTGCCTTCGTGTTCCTCCTTTCTTGAATCTTATCCAGTGTATCAACAGTGATCCATTCCTTGTGGTGGTGCTTCTTGTGACCCAGGACCTCATGACATGTTGAAGTGATTGCCTCTTTGATCCCCTTCCAGTTGCTCTCCACAGTAGTTCCTTCTCCATTGAGTAGATCATGAAAGGCCTGGAACTTGTTGCTGAGGACTATCTTGAATTTGTTGAGTTTGTCAATATCCTGAAGAAAGGCCGTATTGAACTTTTGTGATACTGTCTGCCCCGTTGTCCAGTGCTTCTTGAGTTTCAATTTCATCTTGGCGACCAGTAAGTGATGATCTGATGCTATATCAGCATTAACTTACTATTTCTAAATAACTCTGTTTCTATGTTTTTATTTGTTTATTCTAGGATATTCTTATATTAAACCTATAAATATTAACATTAATGTACATATGAACATCTCTTATCGCTACTTTCATTAATTTGCATTGATGAGAACTCTTTCGATATTATGATATAAAATATGTACACTGATTTTTAAAGATTAATACTATTATGTTTAAATTGTAAACAGCTGATGAGAAACAGCGAAATATGATCAATTTATATTATTCTGATACATTAATTGTTCTTGTCTTAGTCAAATTTACAAATAAAAAAGAGCATTAAAAATATTACAAAGAAACTAGAAACTTAGGATCCAAAGGAAGCCAAACAGTGAATGTACATGCACCACTGAGAACGATCTTGAACCATCTCATTCAAAATTCCTAGGTATTGGCTACGGTAATCACATGGACCCCGACAACCAGGTAGTCTACGCCTAATTACATGACTCTGTCTCACAGTCAGTTTCTTTGCTTGAGTTATGTGGATTGAATTAAGGCACGCTCCGAGTGTGATTGTGTTGGAGCACACTGATTGGTCATTTCCTAGCTAGTCAGCGTTAGTAGATACTTAGAGAAGACTCTAGGGCCTTCTTGAGTGAAATTATCAATATACTAACGTTTTTCTTATTGTGATCCCTATTTCCACTCAACCTTGTTTATGTGGAATATAATTGCGTTCCTGTTCAACCGTGTTCTAATTTGGGGACTTGCCGAGTGAGGTATTTTTCGAAAAATACTAATCAATAACCGTAGCTGGGTCGTAATGAAACAGTTTATAACAGTGAGGAAAAAGAAAGACATATTTGATATGCCGATATCAGATGACCAGCTCAATTGAATTCCGCAACAACAGCAAGCACAACTAAATGCACAAATTCGGTTGTTAGAAACTCTGACGCAACGGCTTAACATTCAGTGCCCGAGTTCATATGCTATGTCAACTACTTCCTGTGGTGCAGTTACTAGTAGCACTCCAGAATTCAACTATGACCCCGTAGTGGAAATACCTTCCTCACATGGTTAAGGCGTTGGGAAAATACATTTAGAATACGATTATGCAAACAAGATGAAACGTGGAAGACTTGATTGTTGATGCGTTAGTCGGAAAGCAATGGACATGCACGCTATGCTATACAACAGATAGACCAGAACGTGGTCTAAATATGTTAGAAAAACTAGGAATAATGGATATACCCATTACGTGTCTGCAGAGTGTCCTGTTCAACAGTGGACACTCCTACATTTGAAAAAATAAGTGGAAGGTTGTCAGATAACCTAAGGAAAAAGTTTGCTTTTTTGCAATCACCTTGATTACTGGTCCAACATGAAAGCTCATTTACTAGTGAAACTAGGTGCTAAACCTATTTTCCGTACGAGACGTCCTACGCCGTGCGTTGTTCTTGAACTAATCGATCAGGAACTTAATCGTTTGAAACAAGCTGGTGTGATCAAACCAATCAACTACTACGCATGGATCACACAAATCGTAGTGATTAAGAAGGCTAATCCAATTATACGTATATGTGCCGATTTCCCAATCGATTTAAACGCTGCACCGGACATATATCAGTATCCGTTACCAGGTCCTGAGAACCTGTTCGGTAAGCTTAATGATGGAACATGTTTCGCGAAAACAGACTTTTCCGACGCCTACCTGTAAGTGGAAGTAGATAATTATTGTAGACAGATTCCAAATATCGATACTGATCGAAGGTTTATTTATAACACCAGCCTACCATTCGGTGTCAAGACTCTACCCGTTATCTATCAGTAAATAATAGATACGATGTTAACAACTTATCTATATGAGATCATTGTTATGGTTTCAAATAACAGTGAACTTCTAGATTGACCACTACTCCTTAAGTCACTTGCAGTTAATGCCGTATCACCAAGATTAATTCGCTCATATTGTTACTTACTAATAATGTACCTCTACTTGTATCAATATCCGACTTCATTTCTACTTCTTTTAATGAAACTAGTTTCGTGTTAGCATAATTACGCATCGAAGACCAAGTTACGAATAAATCGATTTGCTGCTGTTAATAGAGCTCTGATGTGAGGACTCGAAGGTCTCCAAATGGAAAGTTTATTATAAGATGAAACTATCTCATTCCCGTATATGACATAATTTTGTCGAGTTATGCCATATAGACAATAGGAAAAGAATAACCAGGCAATATGTACTACTTCACAAGGGTCATTGCTTATCTTGCAATTAGGACTTAAAAATATTTGCTTAGACGACCACCAGAACATGAGTTCAAACTAATACTGGTGACACTGCTATGTACTATTATACAAGTTCCTATTGTTTTTCTAATTTCCATTATGCTCACTAACTTGTATAGAACGTCCATGTAATTTTTCGAAGCTGTTACTTAGGAATTTTACACAAGATGAATTTAGTTGCATTTATAAAAATCTATTGAGAGAGATTCATTGGATTGTATAAAGACTAGTCCAAGCAATAGTATGGCGAAAAATATCAAGAAATAGGTATCTACGACGTTATTTCTTGAGAACCAATAAATCTGACATCTGTATTATGCTTCTGGGTATTACTGAACACTAAGTGTTAGGGTGAATGAAACATCACATAGGATTGTTTATAATTCATATCATTGATTGCTTTTTAGTTAGTAGATTTGTGTAATTTCATTCGTTAGCTATAATATATTGTCTGACCAATCACAGTGAGAAAACAGTTTTTTATAAAATACTTCGATAGACGACGAATAGATCATTTGAAAACTTGTGTATTTAGCTGCGAAGTAAATACATAGTTTGACTAGTGAATAAGCTATTATTTATTGAAAATATAAAATACAGCAAACTTTTTGATACTACCTTAACTCCATTGAAGTCGACTCTTCTTAAACGACGTAATGCATCTGTATAGCCCTTCACAGTAGAAAATGTGATAAAAAATGTTTGCTTGTGTGAACTGATTTTTTTAGCCGAAGGTATAATACTCCTCAGCATTTTGTCATCTACATCCACCGGTAAATTTCTGATTGAAATAGACTGAACTTTGTCCTGACCATTTGTTTTACTTAGGCGATTCATGACAGGAAAGTCAGGATTGGCAGACATGTTAATCTGAATAACGGGTCGCTCTAAAGCATCTTAACTATCATTTGATAGAAATTTCGTAGAGCAATTCTGACCTGTAGACAAAATAAAATTCTCACGTTATACTTTGCATTATAGCCAAAAATATTTGCTGATTAAGCTTTCAGAAATATCATAAAGGCCTGTAGAACAATAGAAGAAATTAAGGCTGTGACAAAGCTATACTTTAAAAAGGGAAAAACATGCATTCGTTATTGATGATTGGGCTATTATGACATGGTTCTATGTAATCTCCAGATAAGCTACGTATTTAGGAACATGAATTAACAAACTAATGGTGAAACCTCTTACTTTGAGGAAAAACCACTAAAATTTTATATGTTCACAATAATCAAATACTTAAAAAGCATTATTTTTGTATTGTATCTAATAGTATTATATAAGAGAAAGTGGGGTGTTCAACATGACGAGGGGTTTAAAGGCAGACAAGTCCCTGTCTTGTTGGGATATAGGACGCCATTGAATTACGATGTTATATATAAAACATTGAGCTTAGAATAGCGCATAGAGTTGTTCTTAAATATAGTTTGACAATTAGAAAACCATTAAAAATGACAAATCTTGTCCTCAGTTATGTCGTTAACTGATCCCATAGGTCTTATTGCTTTAGATGCCCCCAAATGCCCTGGTATGGCCGAGAGTGGGGTGGGCTCACCCTCCATCTCGAAATGCTCTCACACGGCCACGCGTATACAGCCTCTGCCAGGGAAGTGCTACTCACTGCCTTCTCGTGGCAGGGGTGTTGTTTACGAAAATGAGAGGACGAAAAGCGAATGTCCAGTGCTTTAACTGGATTCCAAACCAGTGGTGCACATGGGCTCCAGTATCCTGCGGGAACAAATGGCGTATGAACCAATCGTTGGTCACTGGCTTCCATGGGACTGCATCTCCTTAGGATGCTCCACTGCCTGGTGGATCAGACCTTCAGGTCGAAGGCTCGGGGGTGGCCCCCTAAGAAAACCACCTGCTTCGGTTTGGGCACCCGGGCAGTATCACAGCCCTCACACATATCGAATGAGATTTATGTGGTGCATATCTAATTGATGCCTCCTTGTACCAATATCTATGTGTTTAAATAATAAATAATAATATTGCTTTAGATTGCCTTCCGTCCAAGTAGCATATACAAAAGCTGTGAGAGAATCGTTCAGGATGAGATTAAACACAAAGCTCTTCGAAGGCCTCAGCGTGTGGAGAGAGTAAAATTTCTCTATGCATTAGATCAACTTACCGTTTAAAAAATTAGAAATGATGTCACCGGTGATGAAAAGGTGTCATTCAGTCAGTCAGCTACAACGTAGGACCAGGCACATATATGCATCGGTCCAAGTTACCATACTTCATTAACACAACAAGATGGACACTGGATTCATAAAAGTAGTTAATTCAGAGGTGGTAATATATAAAAGAAAGATTGCAATAAGGATATAGTACAGGAAGAAAGAATTAGTTCATAGAACGAAATATGTGAAGCGATTTTAATCTCTTAGTTTAAGGGAAGACAGAGAGTGTATACACCGACGCCATTGTGATCGATTCTGAGTCATGTCACCAAGAGTCTCCAGCCATTGGTTACGATAGTCAGTCAGTCAGTAACAACGTAGAACTTCGTACGTACGTACATCAGTTCGAGTTGCCACACCACATTAGCACAGAGATGCAGTTGTCGATTCAAATCCCGTAGTGGTAGATGTAGTAAGAGCATAAGCAGTAATCGGGAAGATTGGGGTTTGGAGATGTTATTTAAAGAGTATAATCCAGTGAAATAAATTTGGAAAGAGGAAAAAAAAGACATGAAGCATTCAGAAGATTAGAATTTGGGAGAACACAAAGAGTGTATGCACCCGCGCCATTGCGAACGATTTTGAGCCATGTCATTCAGGGTCTCTAACCATCAGTTGCTATCACCTCGCGGTCGCCAACCAGGTAGTCTACACCTACCAACATGACTCAGTCCACTTGTCAGTGACTTCATGGACTTGTGCCATGTTTTGGTCTGGCCGCCCCTAGCTTTCTTACAACCTACTCCTATACCACTGAACATCGCAGGTCGAGGCAGTCGGTCGTTGGGCATACGTAACACGTGTCCCAGCCATCTCAACTGATGAAGTTTCACTACTTCATCAATTGATTTGGCATCCTTAACTAGTACCCGTATCCTAACAACTGTGTTACTTACTCGATGGTCCCATGATGTAGGAGCAATGTTTCGAAGACACCTATGATCGAATAATTACCATAGTCACGTGGACTCCAACCAAGTAGTCTGCATCTTCCAACATGGCTCAGACTAGAAGTTAGTGACTTCAAACACTGATGCCACGTTTTGGTTTGACCGCCCCATAACTTTCTTCCAACCATCTCCAGCACCGGTTAGCATTGCACGTCGTGGTAATCGGTAAATAAAGAAGGAACGAGTTGAGCGAAGAAATTTCTTTTCAATTAGTTTTTCATCATGGCTCAACACACACACATATATATATATATATACATATATATATATATATGCCATCAATATTTCAAGGCATCTGTTGTCAAATACTAATAGCTTACGAGTATCTTCTACCATTAATGGCCATGTTTCGCAGCCGTAAAGTAAAACAGAACTGCTGCGAAGCAGACTAGTCCTTTTATTGATGGACGGATATCTCGCCTTCGCCATAGGTGGCGTAAGTTGGCAAAAGCCAAACGAACCCTTCGAATCCGTGCTGAGACTTCGTCAGACACCGACCCATTAGGGCTGATCAGACTTCCAAGATAAGCGAAATTGACTACTTCACTCCCTATCCTTAGTTCAGGTGTTGACGCAGACCAGTCCTGAAGTAACAACTTGCATTTAGAGGAGAGGTGGAACTGTATGTAAATGAGGACACATTACAGTCAGGATATAGAACAATGACTTACGTGTAAATCAGTATCGAGAAACGATTTCTATATTGTACGCTAATCAACGGTAACTCAAGCTGTCGAACCGAAATAAGTGTTGGACGCCACAGCTTTGAACGCGTAAATAGGCGGATATTAGAAGAAAGACTCTACTAACCTACTTTGTGAAGTGATATTTTAAACTAACTCTAAGATTCTCCTCTCTTATATAAGGCACACAAATAATATGTACAGAAAGTATGCAACAAACTAAGTAGCTGTAGTTCATAAGTTCTAATTCATCAGCTTATCTCATGATTTTGAGTGGGCTGTATTAAAAAAAACTAGGAAAATGCGACAAGAAACCTAAACAATTTCCCTGGTTTGGATTTTTTTCTAAAAATACCCAAAACGCTTGGGCAAACTTTGGGGAAATCCATCTTTATTATTTAGTAGAACACCGAAATTACTGAGTATTCTGGAGAAAACCTGAAAATTTTCCCAACGTTCTCGAGAAGTTATATGGTCTTTATTGAGAAGTACCCAGAATGTTCTTTGCGTATAAACGTCTTTCTTTATCTTTAGTTAATTTCGCAAATTTAACGCAATTCGAAAACAATTACGCCACTGTACCCAACATCAAAATGTCTGTTGTCGCACACACATCTAGCTTGTGTAAACTTTCTCTGACGAAGGAGTTTGTTCTTATCACGTGATGTAAAATGTTGATCTTGAAATTACTATTTACTGTATATTTCCTTTTCGGCTGACTTCCTAAGTGCTTACTGATCTAACTGTAAGTTTTTAATCCAGCAAACACTTTTATATTAACGTTTGTACATGAGACACATTTCATATGACATTATAGATCCACAGGTTCGATTATTGCTATAACATTAGGCATTTGTTTGTCTACTATTAGCATTGGGACTGCTTTGGTATTATGTTCGTTACATAGAAGGGTAACGTTCCGTTGTTTGTAGAACACTGAGAACGAAAGTCCAACTTCTACGTGATGAACACATCAAAAAGAAAATCGCCATTAAGAAGAATATGAAAATGCAAAGAATTCGCGAAAGATCTATATGTAGTATTTTTTATATTTCAATAAACAATCTTATTAATAACGCGCCAGTCTCTTAACTACAGCAACGCTTACATGTAGTGTTTGTTGCTGCGAATGTTGGCAAGATATGACTACTTTGATGAGGTAAATAAACTATGATTGCGTGTCCACATTATATTGTCTTCTAAGAAGCATTCACTTAGTTCCGCAGAGAACATTTATACAAGCTAGATGTGTGTGCGACAACAGACATTTTGATGTTGGGTACAGTGGCGTAATTGTTTTCGAATTGCGTTAAATTTGCGAAATTAACTAAAGATAAAGAAAGACGTTTATACGCAAAGAACATTCTGGGTACTTCTCAATAAAGACCATATAACTTCTCGAGAACGTTGGGAAAATTTTCAGGTTTTCTCCAGAATACTCAGTAATTTCGGTGTTCTACTAAATAATAAAGATGGATTTCCCCAAAGTTTTTGTAGATTCTGGGGAAATAATCAGAATGCGAAATTTCCCCATTTATTTTATTTATTTATTTGAACACATAAATATTGGTACAAAGGGGAACTGAATACATATGCGCCACAAAAGTCACTTGATTTGTTCATGGGCTGTGATACTGCCCAAGTACCCAGACCGAAACAAGTAGTTTCCTTAGGGGGTCACGCCCGAGGCCTTCGACTTATAAGTCTGATCCACAAGTCAGTGGAACAATGTCAGGAGACGCAGTCGCGTGGTAGCCAGTGACCAACGATTGGCTCATACGCCATTTGTTCCTTCAGGATACTGGAGCCCATGTGCACCGTTGGTTTGGAATCAAGGGTTTCCAACTTTCCTAGGTGGATCCACGATATCCATCAACCCGGTTAAAGCACTGGACATTCACTTTTCGTCCTTTCAATTTCGTTAACAAACCCCAACTGCGATAAGGCAGTGAGTAGGAGTTTTCTGGCAGTGGCTGTATACTCGTGGCCATGTGAGAGCATTTCTAGAGAGCTGACTCTCCCCACTCTCGGCCGTACCATGGCATTTGGGGGCCCAGGTGTTTTGGGTATTTTTGAGGGAAACTCTAAACCAGGGAAATTACAGGTTTTCTGTCGCGTTTTCGTAATTTCTCCTAATATAGCCTTCTCAAAGTTTCCCCAACACTGTTGGAATTTCTCGAATAGTGATTAGAAAAGTTGTACTCACTTCCTACGGCAAGAAAGTTAGTTTAAGTTTCGACCCAGGCTTGCCGCTGAAGAGAAGAAAGAGGAAACTAACAAAGTCTACAATATACCAATTATCACTTACCAACACTTTATTGTCAGGGTCAGGGTTTGTTACTTTCATAATTCTTCGTTCGAGTTATTCAATTTCCAATATTTTGCTGGGTATCTTTTTAGATCGCATAGATTGTTTCACTTTGGCTTCTTGACGTTATGAAGCTATTCATCTGCATTGCACGCTAATTATTCCTAGCATAAAATATTATTTTTTAGTAAATATGTGTCAAGTAAGTCTATAACTCTATGAATACGAATACCTTAAGGTATTGAGAAGTCTTAAAGTGAGGTAAATGCAGAAATATACAATTTTCCGAGGTTTCCTCTTGAAAATGCTTGTTGATTGGGGTCACAAAAAGGAAGCTAGTGATGGGAATAGACAATGCGCTCTTAAAAGTGATTGACTAACATTTGTAGCAGTCAGTGTTTTTACGCGCCTACATGGTCTATTCTGACTTTTGGTTAGATAAGAAGTGAGCTTTATGCAAAAGCTGGTTTTCACTTGGAGGTTACTAGCTGATAATTAGGCTTCTATATTGGTGGAAGTTGTTAAAAAGTGGATTTTCTGTTCAGATTGCCAGCCAATTTCGAGCGTTGACTTATCGAATTTCGCTTAGAAATAACAGGCTGAAATTCTGGGAACAACCATCTTCGCGGAGACTCATCTACGGAAAAGACGGCATTTTCCTAAATTTTGAGTTCAATCTATGGTAGTTTTTAATCCCAATCCTGGGATAATTTTCATGCTTTTTGTTTGAGTTTTGTGAATTTTCAATTGATACTGCCGAAATCGATCAATTTTTTCTCCGAGTTAAGAGCTCGAACGGCTTACGTTAAAGATTTTGATCAAATTTTTAATGCTCAAGGCGTTATTTCCATTAAGGGTTTTGATTGTTGGTTATAAAAGCATGAAGAAACGGTAAGAAAAATACCTGTTGTTCGCTGCAGTTCAGTTCTACACAACGACATGCATGCTAATTCAGTCATTGCTGATATATTCGGTATTCAGATTGAAATCTTATGTATTTTCAGACATCGCGATTTGAAGTAGGAAATGAGATGGTAGTTTCACTAACTGTGGTACACAGAGTGATCACTCAGCGTAACTTCTCGCTTTTATCATCAATAAAATATTCTATCCACGAACCAAATACGTTAATAAATTTTCCATAATAACTATGCTACTGGCTGTCATTGAAGATGCCACAGGCATTCGGATTTTGACAACACTTCAACCAGTAACACTTTGTGTTATAAATCGTACCTACAAGGTGAAATCTAAAGACAGAAGCGAGGAGGTTCGATGATACATTTGATAGGCTATCAATATATCGAGGACCGTCTGATCTAATCTGGCTAGCGATTGCAGGGGTTGTTGAGCACGGCTTTCCCACTCGTGATCTGGTGCGGATGAATGACCGAGCGCCTTCAGCTAGGTGAGTCCATTAAAATTAATGTGATCAGCATTCAATGTTGAAAACTTACAGAGCTATTTATTTTGGGGATTTATTTACCGCTACATCATAAAAGGCCCAGTCGGTACAGACAATATTGTGACTTCTGCGCAAGATCCCGTGGAGTAGGCAGTAATGTCATGGCAAGCCCGCAATATTGCATTAAGCCTACTTTTCTAGTAGCATAGATAACTGGATTATTATCGATTTAAACTTAAAGCCTACAGGTTTATGTGGAGTGTTGGTTCTATGATTGCTCTTCAGTATTGTCAGCTAAATTCCTCGCGTCGTTCAGAAAAGGAAAGCCATTTCGGACGAGATGGGTCAGGTGCGCGTCACAATTGGATCATTTCCATCTGCTCTTCCAGATACTTGAAATATCTCAAAAAGAAACCGAACCGTAAGCGCAGGAGATATTTTGGGTTTCCACATTGAATTATTACAGAACGTTGTATATGAGCAGGAAATCATTTATTATAGTACGTTATCCATAAGTTGTTTTCATAATCCCGACATAAAAGTTGACTTGTTTCAATTTCCTCATAAAATGAATTAAAAATAAACAACTGAACTACTAAGAAATGTAACTGATCAGCTACAAACATGTGATGCAATGAAATCGGCAGACAACACAGATAATCAGGTCAAAAAAGCAAGTAAAGCTAAGATTACGTAACAATCATAATTTTCCAAGTCCATCGGTCTGAAAGAAATCAACAATAATTTTCAATATGTATTTTCTAGCGATAAATAGATGGAACAGAAATATTGATAGACACACGAGTCAAAACTGGATGGACATAAACAGGTGCATCACAACAAAAAATTCGCGATATGAATATTTTAGCACATCACGTCCACATTTCTCTTTAGTCCTTCATGAAAGTACTTTCGATTGGTCCACTTGCAAATTATGAACCAGATAACGAAAGAGCCAGGCCTCACTTCAAGTACCAAGGTTTATTCGCGGCTTACAAATAACCAACCTAAATATATTGTTCTAATAGATACTACAACAATGACGCAGCGAACCTTCAGTATTAAGATTTCTGAAACATACTTCCGAAATGCCGAACCTAAAACGATGTGAAACAGAAAGTGCCCGAGTTCATAGTTATAAACACACAAGTCCAAAAGGTTAGTAAAACAAATGTATCCACAACACAGTAAAATCATTGATATTTAGTGTGATAGTTATTGATTACTCAAATACTCTCAGTCCTCCCTGTATTATTCTAATCATTATTTGCAAGCAACTCATTAGAACATAATTGTCGTGAAGAAACCCAAAGTGCTTTTTTCAAAAATGTAGTTGTGCACAAGTCTCGATAACGTTTGGATAGTATTCGCCATATGTAAACTGGGTTTGTAGAAGAGTTCTGAGTTAACTTTAAAGAAATAAAAGGAAAAAATTGAAAAAAAGAATAAGGGAAACATCAAATATGTAAATAATTTAATAAGCGTGTACGAGTGCCACAGATATTCAGAGTTTAACAGCACATTTACATGTAACACCTTTATGATTGAAGTATGCCAACCTGGACAAATCAGAGGTGTGAAACGGAGGGCTTCTTAGAGGTTTGAGAGTGTCTAGGATAACGAATCAGAGTATGTCAGAGGTCTGTGACGTCATTTCGTATTGTTTGATGCCTTCCATTTGACAATAAAGTTTGACGCTCGGGGGTTCTAGTGATCCTCAGAATTTGTCTGAAGATGCAGTCAGTTCATCTACGGCGTTATTTTGGAATGACGCAAAGACTTTCTACACCTGTTGGGGAAGCTTAGACAAAAGGAGCCTTATAAACAAGCCCATAAAATTTCGGTTGACCGATGACCTCACACATACGTGAGAACATTTCTGTTACTTAGCCATGTTGAAGCTCAATGTTGGCCCAACTTTTGCCGGTCGGTCAGTTCTCTACATTTGAGAATAGACTTCCTAAGGTTCACTTGTAAACGTACTAGGTGTGACGTACCCGTTAAAATCGCACAGTAGTGCCTTCACTGATGCAAGGAATTGTGCTCGTGCGTCTGTCACGTCGTGTCTGTGGAAATCGGTTTTTGCGTAGCAAAATCAGGCTTCTATATTTTCGAGATGTCATGGCATAAACTGAGTCTGAAGATGAGTGTAACCTGCATGCAATGATAAGACACTTAAATTGTTCATCAGAAAATGGATGCTACATAAAACTCTCACACTGTCTATTAAAGAATACTGCATATGAAAAAAATCAACTTCACATTTCTTAACAGTTCTAAAACAACTAAATCGCAAATTGAATTAAAAAGATTGATTAGTAAAATTCTTTGTTAATTTGCGTACAATATAATCAAAAGAATAATCTTTGGGTTGTTTTGGCGGGATACTGTTCGAATGCTTTCGATGTTCATATGCTCCGAGCTTGCAAAGTAGAATTCGCACCTTTGAATAGTCATCATGATGAAATACCTCAACATGGAAAATATCTTCATACCTCTTGAACTATGGTTCAAATAAAACACGAGCATCAGAATCAAAATGAAAATCGTTCACTCAGTTGATCAGTGATTCGGTAATTAAGTCCCTTTGTTCAGACACCTGCATTGAATTTCCTTGAGTTGGAAACTTTTTTGCCATCATTTCGATCATTTACCATACGTTCTATAGTACCAATAAGTGTTATGTCGAGTGGTGATTGGACTGCGACTTCTACGGCTACTGGACCTTCCTCTACACTTGCAGTGGTTGGTATTCAAAAATTGGGGCTGGGCTATCAGTTTAGTGAGAACTTCGACTGTTCGTCGTAGCTCAGTGAACTCGTCAGTTGAGTTTGTTTGTATGTGTAATATCTGGTCAGTCTTAGTCCGCTCGTAAATTCTATCGGCTATGTCCGCCAGCCTATCGAAATCGACATCATCGTCTCCAATTGCTATTGTCTGTTGGATGTTTTGCGAGTGATATCTGAACCGCAATTGATATAATAGACGTTTGTCTACCATACGATTCTCCAGTACATTTGTCATGTAGTGTTTTTATTGAGGCGATGTGTTGTCACCTAGCTCTACATTGGCTAAAATTTAATCAGCTGTCTGCCGGTTGGTGAGAGATGTAACATGAATGACCTCTCCTTCTAAGCAACCATATGGTGAGTCAGGATCCGGCTAAGAAATGACTTCAGACACTTGTTCAACAACGTCGTCCGGCAGCAACGAGTTTGCGTAACTAAATTTTGTGCTCTGATTTGTAATTCTGTTTCCTTTCTAAGCGTGCAAACCAGAGTTCAGCCTTTCGAGGGTTAGAGATGGGTAAAGGTACAGAGGTGGTACCCACGGAAATAGGCTTAGATAAGAAGATTAGTGAATTATCAAGTGACGTGATATGAAGAAATAATAATAATAGCAATAATAGTAAAACGAGGGTTGAAATACACAATACAAGGAAATGACAAATAACAACAAGAAATATATATGAGACTCACCGAAAAAACTGTCACTTTGGGTTTAGATATGCGAATATACAGCAATAATTCCAAATGAACAATGTAAGGAGTGAATTTATTATAACTGTCTATGAATTGTCAATAATTATAATACTAATTTCAATGTGAAGTTGTTTATGATATGACTGGAGAATATGCAGCAGACTTTG